CCTTTAGAGTATAGGTATATTGACCCTTTCATCACGCACCGCTAAGCCAAAGGACCTCGGGTGGTTGCTGTGCAATACCTGAAGAGGGGATATTTGTGGTGGGGTCCTTTTTGGTTCAAAGTCTCCTGTATTAGTGCTCTCTAGGAGAAACAAGAATTCGAAGAGGCATTGCAGTTTCGGTTTGGTTTGTCGTCACCTTTTGCACTCCTTCAGCCCACGCCTTGATGCATGTCACGCATCTCCCGGTGGTGCAACGGATTTGGTCTGCAATTGTCTTTCGTACAACGTGCCCAAAAGAGCGCTTTGCAATATTGTCGTGATGTCAGTGACCTCAATCAACTAATAGTAAATGCTGTAGATAAGCAGTGAGCTTTGGGATTTGCTGCCGCATGCACGCCTTTTTCTGCGACGAAAGGCAAGTCTCCGGAATCAAGGGAACAACAGCTCAACAGTTTGCGCCACCTGCAGCTTTCTAAAACAAGACTTGAATCAAGGGGGTCCGCCTGCTGCGTAGTCAGGCAAAAGTGCAACTAGAAAAGTCTTTCTCCATGTTAATTTTCGGGTTGCCAGCGCATCGCTGAAGTGCACACACAAAGCCCCGAAGTTCCCTGCACCGGCAGGCTGCAGTTACAAATATTGTGACACCTGCCGATGCAGGGAGATGCAGGCAAAGGAACACCAACAGAAAAAAATCAACTACCCTTCACCTCCCTTTTGAAGGCGATTAGTAGTAGCTTCCCGTTTTTGATGCACGGGGACGTGACTGCATGGGTTCTATATTGTAGTTCCGTTTGTATCTCCTACACTATAAAACGTTAAAAGCACATCGTATCAGAACTGGGATTATTGTACAACTGCATTTTGTTCCATTATCTTTTGTATCCTCAATGCCACCGACATGTAGAGCGCTTCATACATCTGCCGAGGCACATGAGAGCAGCTACTAACAATGGCCCTTGTCGCAGCCTCAGCCTAGGCTGCAGTTCCGAAAGAGCCTTGTGATAGGAGGATCCNCGATCCTAGGGAAAACAGCAACCCGATGTAGTCTCAGCTATTGAAGGTTCCCCGTGCCCCCTTGTCTCCTGGATATCCTATTCATGCAGTGGGCACCCGTAATATGCTGTAATATGCTGGTTCGCAATGCCCTCTGCAGTGACATTTCCTTTCGGTTTGGAAGTGCATATGATGCAGACATGAGATGTCGCACGGAACGTGCTTTCCACGCCCTCAACGCCATGCAAATGTTTGCCCTTCACCATGCAATTAAGGTCGAGAAAGAAAGGCCGAAGCTCTGCTTAACAGAAGGCTTCAAGACTTAATGATTCTCTTCACCAGATATGGGAAGCACGGGGAACAAATAAGCTGCTGCAGCACTTGATGCTGCTGCATCACTTTGGGGAGTCGCTGCTGTCTGGTGGATGCCAAGGGGGCGTTGCCTCGCCTAGGTGTTGGTCGGCTGCCGCCTCCAGGCGTTTTGCAAGTTGCGCATGTCCTGAAGAAGCTTCTGGGTGACTTGGTTCATCTGGTACTTCAGTGGGAAAGTACCCCATACCGGTCACTGGGGGAGCTGTTCCAAGCGGTCCCCATACTCGGGAAGTAAACGGCCAAGTGTCAACCTCCGGAGAATCTTCTTGTCCGGCAGTTCCTGAAGCCGAACGATATTCCGCCGGTAACCAGGGAGAGGGAGACAAAGGCTGCGAGGGGGGAAGATGCCACCGCGACGCCGAAGGCGCCGAGGCGAATCTCCCTGTGCCTGGAGGAAAGCCTTCATCAGGCACTCTTCTCTGCAATGGCGAGGCTCCACCAGCTCCGGCAGAGGAGGGATAACGACTAGAAATTGTATGCGCCGGTGGGCTACGAAGGGGCCAGGACGGGCGTGGGCTGCGGTCAAAGCCACCTTGCCGGGGGGCAGTTGCTCCTGGAGACCACTGTGAGGCCGCCAAGGGATGCCATATGCCAAGGGAGACTGGTGACGCCCACGATGCAGAATTAGGAACGGAGAAGTCAGGCGCCTGAGTAGCAGCAGCTGGGGGCCGCCAAGTTGAGTTTTCAGGGGTGTAAGCAGCAGCAGCAGAAATAGCTGCTCTGAAGGAACCGGGAGAAAGCCCCGGTAAGGGTTTGGGGGACGGGAGAGGGTCTGAAGATTCTGCCGTAGACATCACATCCGAGACCTTGGAAGCCCAAGCAAAGCGCGGCTCGCGAGCGCGAACTAATGGGAGAGTAGCAGGTTTGGGAGCAGCGAACGTTGCAGAAAATCGGGGACGCCCTGCACCAGCAGACGGTGAAAGCTTTGGGAGTACAGTTGGCGCACTATGAGGAAGCCCTGTCTTGCGGTGGGTGGGAGCTTGTACATGGGAGCTTCTTCCCTTGGCAGAAGGTGCTGGAGGAACATCAGCAGCTGCTGAAGGTGCATTAGCAGCAGCAGTAGACGTTCTAGGGGACCTGGGAACAGGAGCACTTCCCGTAGAACTGTGCCCTTCCCGTGAGCCTTGGTGGTGAAAATCCAGCGGCTCTAGGGCCGGAAAGGCACGGCGTGGGCTCTCAGGGGGAGACGCTTCGTCCCTTTTGGAGGGTGCCTCTGATTCAGATGAGGAGGCTGCTCCGCGCTCTGCATCGACCTCCTTGATTCGAGTGCCCTCCCTGTGACTGTCTCCTGATCCCAGAGGTGTTTTGAGCAGGTCTTCTAAGAGTTCCTCCTGGCCTTTCGGAGACTTTTGGAGTACCTGCTCGAGGTATTTTGGTCTGAAAATGCCATATGTTTTGTCCGGTGTGTTCACCTCCCGCAGCCAAGCGCCCACGAGGGGATCTAGAAAAACTTGTTCCCTGCGTTCGTACGCGGTTTTTTGAATAGCCTGAAGAACGCAATCAACTCTAGTGTTTGCAGCAGCTGCAGCAGGACCAACAGCTGCTGCAGCAGTACCTTCAGCACCTGCAGCAGGACCAACAGCTGCATCAGGTCTTTGGACGCCATCATTTGCCTCCTCAAAGCTTTCAAGAGACTCCCTCAGCCAAACGAGCCCGGATTTGAGCAGCGCCAAGGCAGATTCCTGCAGCTGCAACAGATCTTTAATTTTCAACAGACGCTGGCTTTTCGGGAGGGCCGACGCAGTGGGTTTGATCCCTTTGACTCTTTGGAGGAATTCGAAAACACATTTGAAATGTCGGTGCCGAGATTTGGTAACATTCGCTTTCCCTATGGTGGTACGGAAGAACCATAGTCGCTTGTATATTGCATTGAGGGCTGCATTCATGCCGGCCCTTTGCTCTCGTTCCAACAAAGAGTACAGAGCCGAGAACTCCACCAACGACAAAACCGAAAAAATTGCCACGCATTTGGCTCTACGACCGACGTTTAACTGCATCATCACAGGCTCGATGCTCAGTATAAACTGCTTTAATTCTGTGATATAACGCAAAGCCCGCTTCAACAAATCCTGCTCATCAGGAGTTCCCAATTCCTCGCCCGGAGGATCAGTAGCAGTTGCAGTAAGGCGATTCTCCTCTGAATCCCCGCAGGGCTCTCCCGCCCCTTTATCCGTAATCTTCTCTTCACCCGCCAAAAGTCTCAGGGCCACTCTGCTCTTGCTGGCGTTCGCTAAATACACAGCGCACCGGAGCACTAAGTACACTGCTGTAACAGCAGCAACGGCTGCGAGGGCCACAGCACTGACGCTGAGACCCCCAACCGACACATTTCGTTTCTGTGGGAGGNCGGCTGCGAGGGCCACAGCACTGACGCTGAGACCCCCAACCGACACATTTCGTTTCTGTGGGAGGATCCTCGAAACAATGGGCAATGCAACTTCTCCAGGGGCGATCTCCCGACCATGGCCGCTCCAGCCCGCCTGTTGTACCGACGTCTGCAGAGTGCGCAGTTCTGCTGCTGCTGCAGCTTGCATGGTCTCCCGTCAGCTTAAAACAGAGGATTTGGAAGCAGGAGATTCATACAGTACTGCCAGACGAAAAGGCAGGTTGGGAGAACGCAGGAGCAGTGGGGCGCAACTGCTACGTTGTAGGTTCCTTCACCGACCATCGGACCACAACAGTGCATCGGGTCGCCTCTGAAAAACAATCTTAACTGCATCGCCCATCAAAATGCGGGCGTATTTCGTTGTACGTAGCATTTGGAGACGGCCGAGAACTTTGCGTTAAGGACGCGACAGGGAATATGATAACGAACGACGAACGGTCGATGCTAGCACGGGGGGCAGCCCGAAGATTGTCGGGGAAGGAAAAGCTGAAACGGTGACGAAGGAGGCATCACATGAAGATTATTGATAGATTCGTATGCAAATAAAACAAAAACTCCTCTAAACCCCTTCTAACGGATTTCTCGCGGGGACCGTTCGACGGCGCCTCGCCGGCGAGCCCCATCGATTCTCTTGGGGACTGTAGCTGCACAGCGGCAATTGCTGTTTCTTCTGTTGCTGGCGTTGCTAATGCTTCTGTGTTGAAATACTTTTCCTTCGGCTTGGAATGTGTACCTTCATGCTTCAAAAAACGTGGGATGCGAATTATTGCAACGCAAAGTCATAGTGTTGTGGGGAGTGCGAACCCCAGTGCTGTCTAGATGCGCAAGGGCACTACAGTGGGAACTTTGTATTAAATCCATTTGGGAACAGATGCCGTTAATGGATGCAACATTAGATGCAGTGTATACGCGTAAACCTGTCTTGCGGCAAATCCGTTGGATCGGACCAACACGCAGCAACAATCAGCGGGAACAACCGCGGAAGGTGGAGGAAGGTGGAGAATACAACAATTCCGCTGGAGTGGGGAATATCTCCCGGAGCACCCCGGCGTGCCTAGCGGTTAAGAGCACCAACCCTGGCAAGAGATGTTTTTCTCATATTTGCGGAGGGCGATTGCAACTAACTTCCGATCCTTTCATGATAGAATTCCTGGCTCCGACCGCTCGGTTCACATCGTAACGCGCTACATGGCCTGAAATGCCATGGGGATCAGCCGGGCACCTTAGAAAACGTTGTAAATTATGACAACCAAGCTCACAACCCATATTTTTTGACGAGATAAGGAATAAGTTGTTCTGTAATAGGCATAGAAGCTAACGAGTAAATTGTTCGGTGACATGCGCAGAAGCGGCAAACGCCAATAGAACCGTGGTGGATACAAGTATGAACACCCGTGGACGCAGTCGTGTCTAGGTAGAGGTGAGAGACCGACAAGCCTACCAGGACAAGAACGGAACACAACAGTAGGCCAACTGAAAATCGGTTGCTCGAAGGGGTAGACGCCAAGCGTTCCTAAATTCATTAGGACAAAATTCTCGGGGCCTATATGGCCGACGACCCTAAGTTCTCTTCAACGACTCCCTGGGTTAGTCCGCGGATCCAGCCAGCTACTGCGGCTGGTCCTCGCTTGCACCCTGCTCGCAACTAGTGCCCGCTGGTGCCGGTGGATGCTGGGCGGGAAACCGCACTAACTGATTGGTTACCGCTTATTGCCGTAAATATGATGGCGAACTCGATATTTCGTGGTACATTTAATAAGTCAGCTCCCCTCGTGAACGGAGCTAGAGGAACTAATACATTGTATTGCCCACGCACTGCATGGACCCCTCGATTTCGTGTTACTGACTGTATGTGAAATCATTCTTGATCCCTATACATTCCAGCATTTTAAGTACGTTAGCCTCTAGAAACGACTTAGATCGTCTTCTGATCAGCGACTGACATTGATTTTATCATTTCCAGTAGACCAGGAATTGGCCTGGTGAACCACAAGGCATTACACACTTCGCCCGAAAGCAACGCTTACTGCTGTTGCAGGAACCTTTTGGCGTCCTGTTTGTGCTAATGATAAAGTTCAGCCATGTATGGGAGGAAAAATGCTCGCTCCACGGCAGGGAGCGGGGACTCATCGCCGGTTGGCCCTGCACCGCGTAGGCAGGTGCACCCTTGATATATATCGCTCTGTCTTGTTGCAGCATCATCTTCAGCTGTAACGACATTTCCTGTGAGGAGACAGTGTAAGCTTTCCAGCTACATACCTCTGCGCCCATATCCGGTTCCGTTCCTAGCTCTGTTCCCACCTGTAGCTGGGCTAATGTGTTTTTATCGCTTTCCGCGCGTTGCGCCCTGCTCTTGTTTCCCCGTGCTTGGCTGCGACGACAGAGTCAAGCGTTCCAGTTGCAGCAGCAGAAGCAGCATTCTTACCCACACTCACCAAAGGCAGCGCGAGTTTTGCAGGCATATATATATATATATATATATATATATATATATATATATATATATATATATATATATAGAGAGAGAGANTATATATATATATATATATATATATATATATATATATATATATATATATATATATATATATATACAGAGAAAGAGACAGACGGACACAGAGAAAAGGCGGTGTGTAGACAAAGGGAGGCAGTGCACTCTCGGCTGGCTGTAGGCCATCTTGCGTAGCGCAGAAGAGGATATTTCCCTGAATATGCTTAATTCGAAGGAGACAGCAGCAGAAGGAAGACTTGCTATCTGGCCCGCTTGCTCTAGGAGCGCCTCGCGGGAGGCCTTCAGCATGGCGTAGACATGAACAGGGTTAACGACGGTCGCCCCTTTCCCTGTGCAGTGCCAGCCAAGGAAAGAATTTGAAATAAAGAGACCACTGTGAGACTCAGGCTTGTGTCTCGCGCCTCTACGGTTTCAGCAGCTGAAAGAGGCGAATGGCCCGTGCCGGCTGAGCGCAGAGGGAAACAAGTATAGAGGTCTCTGCGTTTTTGTGGTTTGCTTGGCGAAAAGCTTCAATAACGTTTCTCTCGCCTCCCCAACACTACTTGTGCAGCTCCGTTCCCCAACGTAAAAGGCATTTTCAGAAGTGGTTCGCCCTTCAGGGACGAATACGGGATTTTCGCAGTAAGACCGTCCAGAGAACGGCGCCAGTGTAAACCACGTCCTGCCGTAGCACCCCCGATATATCCTCCTACTGCTGCTGCTGCCCCTACCAGGAAACTACTACATGAGATTGATCTGGTTGCTTCAAATGCTGCACTTGAGGTGAACACGCAGAAACCGTAGCACGCTGGTTGGGCATCTCTGCAAAAGCGCTGTCGCGCAGTATAAGGAACAAATGGAATGCATGGCGTCCTACGTGTGAGGTTCACGCTGATTCCGATGATGACCAGCATTATTGGTCGGCTGTTCCAGCAGCAGATAGTGAGGATCGGCGTGCCAGCTGGTGAAAGGTACAGGCTTCCGCTGTTGCACGCGCACAGCGCAGTTGACGAGCTAAAGAAAGGGAAACCAGACGAAACGGCAACTTCGGGAGAGAGATGACGACAAATGAGACAAGCTCCATATGCGGACAGATATCGGGGCACAGGCAGAGATGCAGGCAGAGATAAGCAGGTGAAAATGCCCCGCAGGCGCAACTCAGAAAGTGTCGTCAGATGAGTCAAGAACAAGGCAAAAATAGTAATCAAGGTCAGCTGGCGATGAGCTCCCGTTCCCAGGCCCGAGTCGAGCACTTGGTCCACCGCACACTACTGAACTTTAGCAGGAGCAACTACGCAACGCTCAAGGGTTCCTGCAGCAGCAGCAAGCGTTATATTCCTGCATTGCTCGAAGTTCCAGTCGAAAGAGTCGACTGGAAGTCGCGCTCCTCACAGCACCACGACTCTCCATGGCAGTACGTCCCTTCCCGTGCAGTGTAAAACATGAAGATAAGTTGTTTAAACTGGAAATAAACAAATCCAAGACAGCAGCAATAGCTTCATCGGGACGAGACTGTTCAGCTCTGGCGGCTCTGCAGCAACAGGCGGAAGAGACACCCTGGCAGGCTCGCCGGCGCGGCCGCGCAGAACGCTCCCCAAGAGAAGCCCGTTTGAAGCACGGTAGAGTAATCTTCGCTAAACGTACACTGAAATGCGCTAATAGCGTCCATGCGATCCATCCTCTATTGTTTGCGTGTTTTCCCCAGCGATCCCCAGGCTGCCCGCCGTGCTAGCATCGTCCGTTGGTCTTTCGTCCTCATATTCCCTTCCACGTCATGAACCCAAAGTTCTCCGCCATTTCCAAATGCTGTCTCGGGTTAAGTAAGCTCGTTCCTTTATGGGCGGGGCAGAGAAGGTTGTTTTTCAGGGGCGACCCGTTGCACGTTTAAGGTATGATCGACGCTACGATCAGCGCTGGGTGAACGCCTCCAACGCAGCAGTTGCTCCCCTTTGCTATTGCCTTCCCCTTGCCTGTCTTTTCGTCTGGCAGTTCTGTTTGATTCTCCCGCCTCTGGGTCGTTTGTTCCAAGCTGACGGGAAGCCATGCGGGCTGCAGCAGCAGCAGAGCTGCGCACTCTGCCGACGTCCGTACAGCAGGCGGACTGGAGCGACAATGGTTGGGAAGTCGCCTCTGGAGAAGTTGTATTGCCCATTATTTCCAGGATCCTCCCACAGAAACGAAATGTGTCGGTTGGGGGTCTCAGCGTCAGTGCTGTGGCCCTCGCAGCCGNCCTCCCACAGAAACGAAATGTGTCGGTTGGGGGTCTCAGCGTCAGTGCTGTGGCCCTCGCAGCCGTTGCTTCTGTTACAGCAGTGTACTTAGTGCTCCGGTGCGCTGTGTATTTAGCGAACGCCAGCAAGAGCAGAGTGGCACTGAGACTTTTGTCGAGTGCAGAGAAGACTACGGATAAAGGGGCGGGAGAGCCCTGCAGGGCTTCGGGGAAGAAACGCCCTACTGCAGCGGCTACTGTTTCTGCGAGCGAGGAGGCCGGAGCTCTTGGTGAACAAGATTTGTTGAAGCGGGCTCAGCGTTATATCACTGAGCTAAAGCAATTTATAAAGAACAGCGAGCCTTTGGTGCGGGAGTTAAGCCCCGGTCGTATGGCCAAGTACACAATATCGCTTTTGTGTTTGTCTCTGGTGGAGATCTCAGCCCTGTACTCTATGTTGGAACGTGACGAAAGGGCCGGAATCGTCCCCGAAGTATCTAAGATTTACAACGAAATATGGGCATACCGCAGGAGCCTTGGCAGAGAGCACACTACCAAATCCCGGGAACGTCATTTCAAATATCTCCACCTACTCCTCGGCAAGCTCAAAGACGCCAAGCCCGTTGAAACGGCCCTCGCGAAGAAACAGCGATTGTTGAGACTTAACGAGTTGCTGCAATTGCAGGAGGTGGCTTTGGGGCAGCTCAATACCGGGCTCGTTCTGTTGAGGGAGTCTCTTGAAGGCTCTAATGATCCAGAGGACATCGACAAAGCTGCTAATGTAGCTGGTGAAGGCACTCCTTCAGCTGCAGAAAGAACGGCTGCAGCTGCTGGAGATCCTGGTGTAGCTGATGTTGCCGAAGATGATAGAAGTGATGAAATTGTTAGAGATATTCAAACAACCGTGCACGAGCGTAGGCGACAAGTTCTTAGCGACCCGCTATTGAGTTCTTGGCTGAGGGAGGTGCACACACCAGACTTCCATTACGGCATTATCAGAAGTAAATGCCTTGAAGAGATAGCCCAACAGCCTCCGAAAAGCCATCAGGAACTCCTAGAAGACCTGCGCAAAACACCGCTGGGATCGGCAGACGGTCACTGGAGCATTAATATCAAGGAGAGCGACGAAGAACAGGGAACAAAGTCCCCTTCTGAAACGGATGTGCCTTTCACAAGAGACGATATATCTCCTCCTGAGAGCCAAAGCCGCGCTCCTCGCGCCTTACGCACGCTGGATACCATTGGCCAAGGATCACGGAAAGGGGCTGGGCCCAATGTTATTTCCGCGTCTCCCAGCACGCCTACTGCTGCTGCTGCTGCTGCTGCAGCTGCTGCTGCTGTTCCTACAGGTCCTGCCCCCAAGGGAAAATACGCAAATTTACGGGCTCAAAGGCAGCACAAGATAGTACATTCTCGTGCTGCGCCGAATATTCGTTGGCAGGTTTCGCAGCCTGGTGGTGCAGGGCGTCCCCGATTTTCTGCAACGTCGGCTGCTCCCCACCCTGCTGCGCTCCCCTCAGCTCGCCGTCACGTTCCTCACGCCGAATGGCCCACCAACGTGTCGGCAGTCACTTCTGTCCGGCGATCTCCCTCCCCTTCTTCGCCTCCTGAAGCCTTACCCAAACCTCCGCGCGATTCCTTCAATGCAGCTATATCTGCTGCTGCTGCTTACGCCATTGAAGCCTTCACTCTGCGGACGCCGGGCGCTGCTGCCAAACCGTCGGGTATTTCTCCTGGTTTTGGTGCATCGCCGGTTTCAGTACCAGAACATGGGTCCTGGCCTGCCGCTGCAGCCTCATATTTGTCGCCAGCAGCATCCGCCCCGCAGCAAGCTGGCTTTGACAGCGTCCCACGCGCATCTGGACCCCGTCATCGGGCTTATTCTCCATCTTCCTTTCACCTGGATGCGCCTTCAAGTTCTGGCTGTCGCCGTGGTGCTGCTGTTGGAACCCGGCCATTGCAGAGAAGATTCGCAAATGAAGGCGCTCCTCCAGGAACAGGAAAATTGGTGTCGACGCCTTCGGCTTCGCGGTGGCATCTTCCTACATCGCAGCCTTTGTCTCCCTCTCCTTGGCTACCGGCGGAATATCGTTTGGCTTCAGGAACTGCCGGCCAAGAAAGTTCTCAAGAAAATGACACTTGGCCGTTTACGTCCAGAGTATGGGGACCGCTTGGAACAGCTCCCCCAGTGACCGGTGTGGGTTACTTTCCCACTGAAGGACCAGACGAACCAAGTCACCCAGAAGCTTCTTCAGAACATGCGCAACTTGCAAAACGCCTGGAGGCGACACCTGACCAACAACTAGGCGAGGCAACGCCCCCTTGGCATCCACTAGGCAGCACCGATCCCCGAAACTGATGCAGAAGCAGCAAGTGCTGCAGCAGCTTATTCGTTCCCCGTGCTTCGCAAATCTGGTGAAGAGAATCATTGAGTCTTGAAGCCTACTGTTAAGCAGACCTTCGGCCTTTCTTTCTCGACCTTGAGCGCATGGAGAAGGGCAAACATTTGCAGAGCATTTGGGGCGTGGAAGGCAAATTTCGTGAGAGCTCTGATCTCTGCGTTCCGTCTACGTCCAAACCGAAATGAAACGTCACTGGAGGGGAGAGGGCATTATGAAGCAGCAGATCATGGGCTCCCACTGCATGGATAGGATATCTAGGAGACAAGGGGGCACGGGGAACCTTCAATAGCTGAGACTACATCGGGTTGCTGTTTTCCCTAGGATCGNGGATCCTCCTATCACAAGGCTCTTTCGGAACTGCAGCCTAGGCTGAGGCTGCGACAAGGGCCATTGTTAGCAGCTGCTCTCATGTGCCTCGGCAGATGTATGAAACGTTCTACATGTTTGTGGTGTTCAGAGTACAAAAGGTAGTGGACGAAAATACAGGTGTACAAAACCCCCAGTTTTGCTTTGATGTGTTTTAAATGTTTGTAGTGTGGGAGCTACATAAGGTACTAAAATACAATAATCAAACAGTCACTCCCCCATGCATCAAAAGCGTGCCGCAACTATTAGCCGCTTTGAGAAAGGGCGGTGAAATCGACCTTCCTCAAAGTACGTGGTTTCTTTCATTTGGTGTTCCTTTGTCTGCTCCACCCTGCGCCGGCAGGTGTGAGAATATGTGTTGGTGCGTCCTGTCGGCGCAGGGAACTTTGGTGTCTTGTTTGCGCAATTCAGCGGTGAGCTGGCTATTCGAAAATTGCAATGGAGAAAGTATTGTGTAGCTGCGTTTCTGCCTGGCGGCACAGCAAACGAACCACCTCCATTCATGTCTTGTCGTAGGAAACTGCAAGCGTGCTACTGAGTTATATTAATACACAATTAACGAAGGAGTATCTGAAATCCTTCAGACTGGTCTCCAATGGGGAAGGTCCGGTGGGGCGTCCGCGGTGAAGTCCACTGGGCTTATTTTATTCTGGCTTGCTGCTGGAGTGTGCTGATGTTGTGCTTGTACTGTGCTGCTGCTCCCTGTGTTTCTACTGCTACAAAGGCGTTGAAATCGTTTCGCTCCAGTTTACATAGGGTGTCTTAACCCTATAAACAGCATGAGAAGCGGCATATTGTCACTGGAAGTCGTGGTGTTCTGTGTGGGGAGCACGATCCTCCACTGGCAGCTTTCTAGAGACACTTCGAGCTGCCGCGGCACACAACCCTTGCTGCTGCATCTGCAGCACGAGCCTTACAAGAGTCATTAATTGGTTCTTGCTGAGCTTCAGCAGTTTGCGGTGAAGGGCAATCACCAACCGGCCCTACAGCGCACCTGTAGCTCCATTTTGGTCTTTCTTCATCCATCTCGACACTCCCTAAATCAAGCCAGTAGGTCATTTGCGCCTGTTTGCCTCTGTCTTTATCTCCTTCCCCTCGTTTAGCGCCCGCCCCAGCTGCGGCAGGTCGCGTGTGTCCTCTCCACATGTTACCTGTCCGACATTTGCGCCTGTTTGCCTCTGCTCGCATCTCATTCGACGCGTTTAGCTCCCTCCCCAGCAGCCGGTTGGGCCTCTGCTCACCTCCGTAGGCAACGGCACGGGTCCCTGTTTTTCATCTTCCGCCTCCCCGAGCCTCACTGTCTGCGGCAGCAGCAGCAAAAACACGATAATAACGCCTATTCACCCGAAGGGCAAGCAAGCCTCACACAGAAAACTGCGACTTGAGCAACACAGATGCAGCAGCAGCACCAAGGGCAGCAACAACTGCAGCGGCAGCAGCAGAGCAGTAACTCGCGCAACGCCTTGCCAGAAGCAGCAAGAGCAGCGTGTAGAACAACATCGATTTGTTGGTCTGAGGACTGTTTGTGTCTCCATGTGCTGATTCATTTGTCAATTTGAAGTTTCGTCTTACTCCTGCATCTCTCCAGGCATTTTCTCGTTTGCTTCTGCATGCGGCGAGAACGGCAGCTACGCGTGTAACTCAAGGCAGTTTGTGTGGCGAAGAGTAATCTAGCTTTGGTGGCAATCCTCTCAACCATCCCTGTAATCTTCAACCCACTTGACGGGACTCCCAACCTCTTCCTGTACAAACAGTTCCTCCTGCTGCTGGCGCTGTTCTGTCTGCTGCTTCTGCTGCTGTTTCTGCTGCTGTTTCTGCTGCTCCCGTGGCTGTTTTATGTAGGATGTTTTCCTTATGCTTCGACATTCCACTGAACATTTCCTGATTCTAACAATGCTACTCCTGCTACCCTAGCATTCTTCCACCGCAGCAGCCAATGGCACTGCAGCAGGATCTGGTGACATCAGCTCTTGTCTCAAAGCAGCAGAGACGATGGTAGCCAGCGCTGGAGGCATTTCAGGAGCCTTTATTTACTGAATCTCTTCTGGACTCGCTGCTGTCTGCGTCGTTTGCGCTGCATCTGAGTACAACTAGTCGATACAGCGCTCCAAGCGTGCAGCAGATGCAGCAAGCAGCCGATTATTTTATGTCGAGGTTCTTGTTGCAGCAATTCAAGTCACTGACAAAATCAAACAACGGGTTGCCTTAAGAGACACAGCAGTCAAACTAAACGACGAACCGAAGAGGTGAACGGCAGACGGAGCAACGAGAAACCCTTTCCACAACCAACCGAGGTCATTCCAAAGTCTGCTGCTGCAGGGGTTGCTGGAGGTGCTCCTTTTGCGGCAGTGACTGGTCTAGTTGCCGCGCCTGGTGCAGCTGCTACAGTTTATGCTCGAGCGTCCTTTTCCCGTGTGAGGCTCACTCTGCTTTTGATGATTGGGCGTGCCGAGGAAGGTAGCTAACAAGCGTAGGGGGAGAAAAAGACAGACCTAAATCCTAAACCCTAAGTGAAATCCGCTGGACGTGGAAACGGAGACACCGACGCGGGGAAGGAGGCAAGGGCTACGAGGCGGATATGTTGCACATGACCGAAACATAGCGTGTCGTTACAGCTGAAGGTGAAGGGGCAGAAGGGAACAGCGAAGATCACGGAACTACCTGCCTGTGGAGCCGTGCCCATCGGTTGCCTTTGCTGCACGCAGCAAAGCCAGCCGGTTGGCACGGTTTCCCCGCCCCCGGGCCCCCGGACAATCACTTAACTCACGCCATACTACTGATCATCAGCCAGGTCAATGCAAAAACTGAGGGGGATTCGTGATGCAGTAACAGCGGCAAGCGTTGCTCGACAGTAACACTCGAAGTGCCTCTAGAAGGCTGCCGACGGGAGTTCGCGCTCCCCTCCCCAACACCACGACTTTCTGCGGCCCTGAGTTTCTTCTTATTCTCCTTAATGGGTGCATACACCTTAATTAAACGGAAAAGACCATTTTACTGAAACGCAGCGGGGGAGGCAGCAGCACTGCAGCTAGGAGGCCGAAGACAACTGTGAGTCCCACCGCCAGCCCGGGAGGCTCAGAATGAGGAGTCTGCCTGTCGTGGAATACTCCATGCTGTTTGTTAATTGTGCAGTTAAGTAGGTCACGATTAGCGTGAAGCCCTCTTTTGTGACCAACGCTCTCACCTTTCTCCGACGATCCCCATTCTCACCACGAGGGCTAGCAATGTTGGGGGGTCATTTCTTATGCGTGGTTGAGTCCTGGAAACAAAGTTCTTTGCCATTTTCTGATACGGTTTTGGACTGAATAAGTTGGCTGTTTAAAGAAGATGCAGAGAAGGCCGCTTTTCAGGGGCGGTCCGATGCGCGTTTAAAACGCGATGAATGGCCAACGACTGCCCAATCGGCTGCACTTGTTCTCCCCTGTTCGTGTATTTCCGTTGCCCTCCCTCTTCTTCGATTTTTCTTTTGACTTTGCGTCTCTGTCATGTCTGTCTGTAGTTGACGGGAAGCCATGCAAATCGCAGCAGCAGCAGAGCCGGGCGGTCACCGCACGTCTCTGTTTTATGGGAGCCAGAGTTCCTGGGAGGTCACCCCCGGAGAAGTTGTCTTACCTGTTATTTCGAGAAGCCTCCCACAGAGACGCATTGCGGGGGTTGGGGGGCTCACTGTCAGTGTGGCGGCCGTCGCAGCCGTCGTTGCAATTGCAGCATCGTATTTTGTGGTCCGCTGCGCGCTGTATTTGTCCAACGCCCGCAAAAGAAGAGCGTCGCTCAGATTTCTGGCAGGAGCAGAAGGGAAGACAAATAATGATCAGGGAGATCCCTGCGGTACATCGGCGGGGGATCCCCCTGCTGCGGCTGCGGCTTCTGTTGATGAAGAGAAAACGGATGAAACGCTTGATGAGCAGGATTTGTTGGAACAGGCTGGCCGTTATGTCTTTGAACTGACGCGAGTTATGGAGAGGAACGGTTGGCTGTTGACACAACTGAATTTTAGCCTGAGAGCCAGGTGCGTAGCAATTTTTTTATGTGTGTGTCTGGTGGAGTTGGCTGCGCTTTTCTCCCTGTTGGACAAAAGAGAGAGGGTCGGCATGAAAAGAGGAATACATCTAATCTCCGCCACAGTAGTGGACCTCCGCCGCAGCTTAGGCAGAGCACCCCTTTCCCCTTCGCGGCGCCGGCATATCAGATTTCTGCACGAACTTGTAGACCAGCTTGCAACGGTCCCACCCCCGACCGCGGTACTCGAGAGGAGTCAGCGGTTGCTGAGAATCAAAGAACTATTGCAGCTGCAGGAAGTAGCCTTGGGGCAGCTCAAGGCCGGACTTGGTTGGCTGAGCGCATGTCTGGAAAACTGCAAGGAAACTCAAGATGTCGGCAAAGCTCCTGCAGAATTTATTGAAGACACTGTTGCAGCTGCTGAGGGTGCTGCTGCAGCTGGTGCAGCTGCCGCGGCTCCATATGCTCCTACATCCGCCGCAGCAGGGCGAGTCGATGCAGTTGTTGCCGCTCTTCAAACAACCGCGTACAAACGCAGAGAACAAGTTCTCCGCGATGCATCCTTGAGCCGTTGGCTGCGGGAGGTGCATGGACCCGACAGCCGCCACGGACTTGTGAGCAAGGGACGTCTCGCACAGCTAGCCCTAAAACCTCTTCAAAGCCATAGCGAACGCCTAGCGGCCCTGCAGGCCACTCCTCTGGGATCAGGAGATGAGCTCTGGAAGAGCATTGGCCTCGAGGAAATTGACGTACAGCAGGGATCCGCTTCCCCCTGTTTACCCGACGCGCCCTGCCAAGAGGTCACAGCTTCTACTTGGGCTAGCCCAAACCCTTCTCCGTGCGCTCTAGGGCCACTGGATACGCCCCGTCAAGACTCACGGAAAGAGGCAGGCTCTACGGGGTCCGTCCTTGTTTCCTCCAGCGCGTCTACTGCTGAAACTGCAGCTTCTGCAGATGCTGTCGTTGAGCAGCACGCCGCTTTAGAGGCCACCAATGACAGCAAGACAGTGCCTCTCGCTATGTCGCCAAATATACTTTCACGCGCTTCGCCGCCTGCTGCTGCAGGGCGTCGCCAATCGCCTGCAGTGTTCACTGATCCCGAACCTCCTGCTGCCGCCTCAGCTAGCGATCGGATTCCGCAAGCCAAATGGCCCTCCAGGGGCTCGGGCATCGCTGGTGTTGCTACCAGGGCGCCTGTTGCTTCCGCTGGACGGTTGGATTCAGTACCACCACGTGGTGCAGGGCCTTACTCGGCAGTCCCACACCCCTCGCCAGCAACTTTCACCCCGCCTCCCTCTAGCTGGAGGAGCCCAAAGGGCGCCACTGTGTCCCGCCTTCCTCCTAAGACGTTTGCAACTCATTTTCGTCCCCGCTTCCAGTGGCCAAGGCCTGATGACTTCACAGCCGCAGAAGCGGGCGCCTCGTTGTTGCGGACCAGAGAGGCAGACGCAAGCCCTCTTCAATCCGTGGCGGAGTATTCAACGTCGGCCGTGGAGATATCTGCTTCGCAGCCTTTGTTCACCACCCACTGGACAGCTGAGGAATCTCGTTCATCTTTAGCAGAAACTAAAGTCCTGGAAAATTGGGTGGACGTGCGTGGCAGGCCGAATATCTACAGGCTGTGGGGGCCGCAAGAACAAGCCCTCTACACACCTGTTGCGGGCTCCTTATCCAGTGAAAGGACAGACGAGCCAAGTCTTGCAGAGATTTCTGCAGGCTTTCAGCGGCTTGCGGTACTATTCAGTGGGGAACCTGACCAAACGTTAAGCGCAACAGTGCACCGGGGCCACCTAGAAGTAGCAGGAGCACCCCCCGCAGCTAATGCCGCAGCAAGTGCAACAGGAGGTCAAGCTTCTCCTGCTCTTAGCAATTCTGGTGAAGAATTGTTCACCTGGATGGCGCCATTCTGAGGGGAGCTCCAGACTTTTTTCTCGTTCTCAAGTCAAGGAAAAAGATTAGGCATTTGCACCAGGTAGAAGACGCGGAATGCAGATCGCGTGACGGCTCTCAAGTCTACGTGCTGTTCGTCGCCAAATCCCAAAGAAGCCTCACTGGCGGGGGACGGGATTGATGAAGACGTGCATGACGGGCGGCCATTGAGTGAGCAGGATGTCCAGGAGGCAAGAAGGGAACTGAATGCTTCAATATCTAAGGCCAGATGTATTTGTTGCGTTTTTTTGGGTCTCACCGACCTTTTTAGCACGGGGAGTTTTGGTGATTGTGGAATTTGCGAGGAATACGATGATGGCCATCTCTCCTGGCTGCTCTCATGCGGCTCGATGGACGTGTGAAGCGTTTTATATGTTTATGGTACGAAGTACAAGATGTAGTGAAACAAAACGTATTTCCAACAAGTTTATCCTGTTGCTAATGTCTGTTGCCGTAGAACTGCAGAGTGTGTTGTATCCAAACGTGAAACAAAAACAGTTGATCTCCCGTGCACGGAGAGTGCGGCTGTCTGCATTCGTATGTGCTCAAGAAGTGAACCGGAAGCTAATCGTTTTGGCATGAACCAGAAGAAGAAGCGTATTTATTTCTTTCCTTGCCCTGTATCTGCTCATTGCTGCGCTGGCTGGTGCTGTGAGGTTTGCTTTCCGACCTGGCGGTGCAAGAACCTCTTGAGTTTTGTGTGTTATTTTGTTGCCAATCTCTGGCACCTCGGGCTCTAGAAATTCGCCCTACCCCAATGCCTACCTGCCGATCCAAAAGGCAGAATCCCCTTTCTGGAGTCTCGATTCCAGTTACTGCAAGCCACCCCAGCACATGTGCTACTGTGTACTCGCAGAACAGGGCGCACGCTCCGCAGTCAGTGCAAAATGTCATTGTTGATCTGCACATCGGTAGCGTCTAGCGGAGACCCGCCGCCAGACCTTTTTAACGTTTCTTTAACGCCTAGCACAGACCCCGTAAGAACAATACGAGGAATTTCCAGTGATCGGTTGTTGCTGTTCTTGCTGCTGTTTTCCATGCAGCCACATAGCAACAACAAGTGCAACGACAGTGGATAAAACCCACTTTCTTAAAACCAGGTAAACTGTCCTAAGGTTGGCTTCTAGCCGTCGTCGTCACGTAAACTTATTACATGCAAATGTGTGCAGCCTACCTACATTGCTAGCCGCATTACGGCACTTACAATATTTGCTTTGAAAGCCTCGAAAACTCTAAATGCTGGTGTTCACCCAGGGCAGATACCTTAGCCCTGCATTCGTATACATAATGCGGGAAAAAGCAGTCGAAAAGGAGATGCGTCTTCAAAAGCTCGCAGAATGCTGCGGCTGCTGCAACAGCTCCTAGGCTGTTGCCGCTTTTGCAACAGCCCATAGGGTGTTGCTGACGCTCCTTCTGCATGAAGACAATGAAGGAGCAACAGCGTAAGAGCTGTTGCTCCTTCATTTTCGTCATGCAGAAGGGGCGAAGCAGCAGCTGTTGCTGCTGCTATTGCACGATGAAGACGATGACGCAGCAACAGCTCCTAGGCCGTCGGTGCTCCTCGTGCTGAAAAACAGGATGAACAGGCAACAGCACAGAGGGTGTTGCTGCTGCTACAACAGCACATAGGCTGTTGCTGCTGCTCCTGCAGCATGAAGACGATACAACAGTAACCGCTCTTAGGTTGTTGCTGCAGCTCCTGCAGCATGAAGACGATGAAGCACCAATAGATCTTATGCTGTTAGTCGCACCGCAACAGCAGATGGTCGCTCTTGCTGTGACGAGCACCAACAGCTGTTGGGCCGTTGGTGCTACAGCAACAGCTCCTAGGCTGTTGCTGCTGACGAACACCAGCAGCTGTTGGTCTGTTGGTGCTGCAGCTACAGCACCTAGGCTGCTTCTGCTGATGCAGATGAAGCACAGAAAGCTGTTGGGCTGTTGGTGCTGCAGCAACAGCTCTAAGGCTGTTGCTGCTGATGAAGCACCAACTGTTCTTAGGCAATTGGTGCTACAGCAACCGCTCCTAGGCTGTTGGTGCTGACGAAGCACAAACAGCTGTTAGGCTGTTTGTGCTGCAGCAACAGCGCTTTGGCTGTTGCTTGGCTGTCGCTGCAGATGAAGCACGAACAGCTGTTGGGCTGTTGGTGCTGCAGTAACAGCTCTTAGGCTGTTGCTGGTGCGCCTGGTGGATACATATAGAAAAAAACAGCACCGACGCTTCTGCTGTTGTCGATGAAACAGCAACAGCTCTTAGGCTGTTGCTGCCGGGTGCTGCTGCTGCTGCTGCATGCATCAGCGTGGTGCATCAACAGGATGTGCACGCTGCTGCTGCTGGGTGCTGCTGCTGTTGCTGTAACAGCGTGCATTGGCATGGTGCAGCAACAGGTTGTTCACGCTCGCCTTCCTTTTTACCTGCTGGAAATATCTGCACACCATGTCTCCGCGGTTTCATGCATCTTCCGCAGGTGCAGGGGCATTGGCCTGCGTCCCAGCAGTGGTGCAACGTGCAATTGCATGCGTTGCACCTCTTTCACATTGTCAATGACGTGAGCGGATTCAGGTGGAGACAGTAGAAATGAAAAGTGCAACTTTGAAGGGAAGCACTGCACCTGTTTTCCTTTCCCGTCTCAAAGCGGTTGGCTGTCGCTCAGCGATTACATACGAATGTACTCGCGTACACAAAAGCTTTCATGCCCGGAGGACTTAAACTTTTATATGTTGACCCGCTACCTCCTGTATTATTAGCGCTACCAGCAACCAGCGCTCCTAATACCAGAACGAAGTTCTCATGTGAGTACCGGTCCACTATCATTCCTACTTCCAGCAAAACGAACGACGAAAAACACCGCACTTCCATCAAGACAGATGAAAGCAGCCAGGAATGGTGGTCGTCGTCGTACTGTACTTTGGCATATTACCTCTCCAATATTTGAAAGCACGAATATTTAATGCATTTAATACTTTCTTTGACGCAACTGAAAGCAGCGCCTCGCGATGACCACCATAGCAGCCTCAGCCTAGGCTACACTGGCCAAAGCGCCTTGCAGTAGGATCTCTGCGAGAATGATGCAAGCAGCAACAGCAGAGCGACAGCCCTGTGGTTGCTGCTTGCCTCATCCCATTCCAGTCTTGTCTTCTGGGTACCCTATCCATCCAGGTGAATCCCTTGATGCACTGCTTCACGACTCATGCTCCCCGAGAGTGAAGTTTCTTTGCAGCCTGGAGCTTATTACAACATAGACCCAAAATCCTCACGAGGTCTGCCCCCTATCGACTGCGAATACGTGGCGCCCTTAATGCACCTAAAAAGGAGAAAAAGGCCCAAACTTCCACTCAAACAGAGACTCCCAATGTGAAATACTCTCTTCGTCGGGGTTCGTCAAGGTAGGAGAAGACTCAGCTGCTGCTGGAGCACTTGCTGCAGAATCAGGGACGTGAGCTGCCCCTGCCGCTGGTGGCGTTTTACGTTGCATTGTTTCGCTTGGCTGTTGGTTCGATGCCCCACCGAAGAGTTTTGCAAGCTGCTCAAACCCCTTAGCAATCTCTGCAGGACTTGGCTTAGCGGGCGTTTGATTGATGAGGAACCCTCCGTCGGGTCTGTAACGGCCCCCTTCGGGAACCCCCAACATCGCGAAGGTAAGAGGCCAGCCAAATATGTTTACAGGACCTCCCTCGGTTGTTCCTGCAGAAGATGGTCGAGATTCTGCCAGTCTCCAGGAAGACTGGCGAAAGGGTTCCGAGGGAGCTGCCTGGAGCAGCGGTGTCGAAGACACAGACATAAACTTCCCTGCCTCTCGAAACGCGTTCCCATCTGCCCCTATGCCTTGCAACGGCCCTTCGGTCGATACATCGTAGGCAGGACTGTTATACGTTGCATGCAGGCCGAAGAAGGATGGGAAAAGAGATCCACGACGGGGCCTTGATGCACCCGGGGCGCGGTCAAAACCATCGGGCGCCGGGGCGGATGCTGCTGGCGAGGGGAGTGCGGATGCAGAGGCAGGCAAGGAACGAGGCGCAGCAACTGAAGCCCACAATGTAGAAGAGGGCAGATGAAAAACAGGCACCTGACCAACAGCACCTGGCATCGACAAACTAGAGGACTCAGGAGCGTCAGCAGTAGCAGCCGAGGCAGCAGGCTTGTTGTGGCGGGCGGGGACGGGGGCTGATCCCGTCGCGCTGGCCTTTTTCCCTGAGCCTTGTTCAAGGAGCTTCGGTGGCCGTAGAACGCGAACAACACGGCTCGGCTTTTCCGAAGGAGAAAGTTTGTCTTTTCGGCAGGGCGCTTTGGGGACTGAAGAGGAGGCGGTTCCTCCCCGTGCGTCTCCGTACACGAGGCGTAGCTTCTCACCGGGATCGTCTCCCGATCCAAGAGGAGTGGATTGCAGGTCTTCTAAGAGCTCCTGCTGGGTTTGAAGGGGTCTTAAAGTTATTTCCTCGAGACGGCCGCGGCTGATGATCCCGTAGTGAAGGCTCTCTACATGCACCTCCCGCAGCCAATGGCTGATAACTGGATCGACAAGAACCTGCTCTCTGCGCTTGCGGACGGTCATTTCGATAGCCTCAACAACTGCTGCAACTCTAGCAGCTGCAGTAGGTACAAGCTCTGCAGGAGCTGCAACAGAGGCTTCAGCAGCATCGCTGTGAGCTGCACCTGTACTTTGAGCAGCTGCAGCAGCAGCTTTGGCATCAGCCTTTGCTTTCTCCAAGCGCTTCATAGACGCCCTCAGCCAGAAGAGCCCAGCGTCAAGTTGCCCTAAGGCCACATCCTGCAGCTGCAGCAGGTGTTCGATCCTCAGCAGCCGCTGCCTCACGGCGAGTTTCGCTGCAACGGGTTCGACTTCCGTGATCCTACCGAGGAAATCGTAAAGACATTTGAAGTGCCGGCGCTGTGGACGGGAAATGCCTCTGCTGCCTAGGCTCGCGCGGACGTCCCACAATCGGCTGCTAATTTCAGATATCGTTTCGTTCATGCCGGCCCTTTCTTTTCTTTCCAACAAGGTGAACACAGCTGCAAACTCCATCAGAGACAGACGCAACAGAGCTGCTACGCACTTGGCTCTCAACTTGGTCTTCAATCGTCGCAGCAGAGGCTCGGCACTCCTTATAAACCTCGCCAGTTCCACGGCATAAGTGCTAACCCGCCTCAACACGTCCTGCTCAACAAGATATTCTTCCTCTGCCTCCGGCTTAACAAGAGCTTTCCCTTCACCTTCCTCAGCAGAATCAGCAGCAACTGGGGCGGCGGGATTCCCAACCAACGCACCGCAAGGCTCTCCATGGTCTTTGTTTGCTGTCCCTTCTGCTCCTGACAGAAACCTCAGCGCTGCTCTGTCCGTGCGCGCGTTCGCCAAATACAGAGCACAGTGGAGCACTAGGTAAGTTGCTGCAATAGCAGCAACGGCTGCAAGGGTCGCAACACTGACGCTGAGACCCTCAAATCCCCCTTTCCATCCCTGTCGGATCCTCCTGAAAGTAACAGGCAGCGCAACCTCTCCCGGCGGTACCTCCCTTGCCCTGTCACTTCCTCCCAGGAGCGATGTTGGGCGAAGGCGCGGTACCGTTGCTGCTGTGAAGTGCATCGGGCTTCTCCAGCTCAAGACAAGCGACAGAGAGGCAGGGCATTTAAATAGGAAATTAAATGGCAAACGCCAGAAGGGGGATGGCAGAAGCGAAAGAGAACAACTGCAGCCGAATTGGCGTTCGCCGACCGTTCACCACTCTGGAGCCGTGCACAAAGTCGCCTCTGAAATGCAAGCTTCTCTGCATATTCCCTAGGAATGAGACATATTCAATCCTTTAGTGCATCTATCAGCAGCAGACAATCTTGCTTTCAGAGCCGAAGGGGTTATATGGAGCCAATGACCGACGCGCGCTGCTAGCCCTGGCGGTCAGGCTGAGGATCGAGATGGGAAGGCAGGCGGAGGTCACAAAAGAGGGTTTGAGTAAATCTCCTTGGTATCTCCACCTACATATTTCGCGAGAAAACGATAATCCCCCTACATGCAGACATCTCGCGCGGAAGGCGCTGGGGACGCTCGGCGGTGGCGTTCCCATCGTGCGGTGCCCTGGGGTTCAGGTTCAGCAGGGCAGGCTCAGAAACCCTGAAGTTTCTGAGAGCTGATGATGCCGCTTACAGTTTAGACATGGCAATAACAAATTATCTCCGTGATAATAATAATACTAACAGCTACCGCCATAGAATCCAGGCGAATGGAATCAATGCCCTGCCGTGGCGTATTCTGGCCTCGAGTGGAGCGGTAGGCAGATAAGTCCAAAGGAATACGAAGGGAGCACAACATTTAACGACTCGTAACATTGAAGGGGGAAACGATATGCAGGGTTTCGGTTAGGGTTATGCTGGCAATTCATTTGGAGAAAGGATGTCCAAGACTGCCTTTGGGTTTCCGCTATGATTGTTGCCCGGGCTCGTCCCGCCAGCACTGTGGGATGCTCGCACCGCTCACCGGCCACGCTTGCACCCTTTCACGGTCTTGGTACTTCACTCGTATGGGGGTTGCTCATCCTGTTACACTCGTATGAAACGATTAGTTGACCCTTGCACGTAGGATGCTCATGCTAACCGGTTGTTACCTACCGTGGGTCCGACCTAGCCGGCACTGAGATTGTAGTGCCAGGCAATACAATATTCCACCATCTCCACAAGAATTTGCCGCAGTGAAATGCACAGAAAGAAGGGAAAACGTGGCGGCGTTGGTGTCACTTGGTCTCCCCCTCTCCGCAGGGGGTAAGCTTGTACCTCTTGTCAGGGCCTTAGGGGGAAGCTGAAGCGTCCTAATCCACCTCCAAACCCTGCTGTACCAAAGTGGTTCTAAGCCATCTAAACTGGGGCCTCCTGTGCTTCCATAGCGAGACCACTAGCTGAAGGTGAAATCCCCTCGAGCACAAACCACTGACAATTTGTGCCACCGACCATCTGGCTGACCGACAACACCACGCCACTTCATAAGCTCCTAACAAATCGAGCCCCAGCACGAAGTAATATGATACTAGGACCACCAAGAAGTCACGCAGAACGCTTGTTTACGCAACGAAAACGCTTCGCGCGCTACGATCTGGCAGTGAAGCGCGAAGCTGTAATGGCTAATGGCGGGGCACAACACTGCCCCACAATCCGGAAACTTGACAAGGCGGTCTCATCTATAGGGCACCATATTCTGTGCTCTGCGGAGTACAGTCAGTCTCGAATAACACTGCCCATCACTCGAGGATGGATGTAGCATGAGTTAGCGCAGATGCTTTCACCTGGTGTTGGGACGTTGCGTGTAAACGCTTGCAAACGTTCCACAAGTACGTTCTGAGGTAAAGCACGCTACCTTTCTGAGCTTAATTAAGGACAGAAGCGAGCTGCAATGAAGGTAAAGGCATGAGGTAAAAGTTTCTCGAAAAGCAGCTGACCTACTTCTTACGTCCACAGGTCTCGTGGGTGTTGAGCTCAGGGCGTGGGTGTCATATTCAGCTACATAGTCAGGAGAATAATATATTGAGTAACTGGCCACACTCGAGTTATCCTGGGCCTGTGCGGGTTGGCCTCGAGAACCACTATACGATCGGCGGTAGCTACACCATGGGCCATCTGGCTCAAAATCCTCTATAAGAAGGAAAATAATTTACTCTAATCACTTCCCTTTCTAACATTTTCCAAAATTTCGCAATATACGGGCCGAAAAGTTGTCCGATACAAGGCCGAAGACACCCGGGGCAATCCACAGGGTGTCTTCGGACTTCTGTCACTGCAACAGCTGCTTTTGCTGTTGCTGCTACTGCACTGAAATTGTGTTTTTCGTTTTTCCCGGTGGGCTTTGCATTAATTAAACAGCATGAAAAGAGATTTCTTGCCGCGGAAAGTCGTGCTGTTGGGGGGAGCGCGAACTCCCATTGGTAGCTTTCTAGGGGCACTTCGAGCAGCACCGGCACCAAGGCTTGCTGCTGCTGCTGCTGCAGGAGCCCTCCAGCGTTCTGGAGTTGCTCCTGCTGAGGTTCAGCAGTGTGTAGTGGGCCAAGTAGTTTCATCGTCACAGGGCAAGGGCGCGTTCCGCGCGGCCCTGCAGCGCGCAGGCAGGTGCTCCCCAGAGTTCTGGGATCCTCTTGTTCCTGCTCCATCTCCAGCACTCCCTACATTTCCTACGCTGGTCTTGTCGAGCATTTTGATCTGTTTGCCTCTTCCCTTATCTCAATTTCCTCGCCTACCGCTGTTCCTAGCTGCATTAAGTCTCATGTGTCCTCTCCGACTCTCGCCCTCTCTCTCTTGCGTCACTTCTGTCATTTTCTCCGTTCTTTTGCATATAAACACTCAATCGACTTGCACAAGAAGCATCGCAAGCCTGTGCCCTTTACCTGCTGCCTCCCCTAGCTTTGCCTGTTGCAGCTGCAACTGCTATAACAGAATGATCACGCTTACCCATGCGAAGCAGCGCACGCGTTTGCATGAGAAGCAGCGAGTCGAGCAGCGGGGACCACAACAGCGGCAAGAGCAGCACGTATTATGATATGGGTTGATTGCGGAAAGGGTTGTTCCTTTCTCCGTTTCATCGTCTCCTTCGTCGGCTTGAAGTCTAGTTTTGCTGTTGTGTCTCTTCAGGCATTCCCGCGTCTGCTTCTGTCTACACCGTGAACGGCAGCTGTCCTACTGGCCTCAAGGCAGCTTGTTTAGCGGCGACTTCGGTAGCTTTGGGCGAGACTCCTCTGGCCTTAGCTGTCGGCGTTGAGTCGCTCAGCAATGCTCCATACCTCCTCTTGTATAAACATTTATTCTCCCTGCTGCTGCACTTACTGTTGCTTCTCATATGTCTGCTGATGATGCTGCCCTTCCTTCTGTTTCTGCTGATTATGTTGTTTTTTCTTGTGCTTTTACATCCTGTTGCAAGGTGTTTATCTCTCGAAATGCTGCTGCTCTTTTCCTACTCGGGCCTACCTGAAGCTCCTCTCTATTTGTTGCTATCTGCAACGTTTGCGTTGCAGCTCAGATGTCGCTTTTGCTTCTAGTTTGCGCTGCAGGAGGGCGCGACAGGGCGGGTACACGCTGGGAGACGGCGTGCTGGTTGACTCACTCGTATTTGAAGGTCTCAGGGGCTCAGAACATCAACAGTTGCCCGGGAAAGTAAGCGGCCGTCTCCCTCCGCTGCCCTCCATCCCCCTTTCTCTCTCCTCTTGTCTCCATCCGCGCACCACCATGCAGTGTCATGTTTGGATCTCTTTCTCTTTATTTCCTGTGTAGAAGAACCCCTACCTCTGTCGATATCTTCTTTGTCTCTGCCTCTTTGTCGTGAAGAAGAGCCTCCTGTATTTTTTGCCTCTGCTGTCGCTCTTCAGTGGGCAGATGCCGCTGCAGTACAGTTCGGAATAAGTCGAGAGGAGTGCGACAACTACGCGGTGCAGAGCTTCAAACGTGCCGCAGATGCAACAAGCAGCGGATTCTTTCGTCTCGAGGGCCTTCTGCCCTTCTCCACAGCATTTACAGGTAATACAGTTTATGGAAGCAGGTTTCTGTGTATCCGCATCTCAGGACGACTGCTCAGCAGGGGCGGTGAGATGGAGACGTCACTACCAGCAGTGTTCGACAAGGGCAGCTGCTGGAGCTGCAACGAGTTGCTACCTGCTTCTTTATCTGCGTTACAAGCCGCAGTACCATTATGCAGCATGCAGGCAGATTATAAGAAAATATGCTTTGGTTTGTCATATTGTGCAACTGTGCTTATGCAGAGACGCCTAGCCAGCGCGCTAGCGGTGCTGCTGGTTCGCCTCAAGTGCCTCAGCTGCAGCAGCATCAAGAGCAGCAACGCCGTGCAGTAGCCTTCCGGCAACGCCGACAGCAGCAGCAGGAGACGTCTGGGTTGCTGCAGCACGATGAAGAAGTGCAGCGACTTTCTCTGGATCGTCTTGCTTCAGCGAATCCTGTGTTCGGTCCTGAAGGGCTTACCACTTCTGAAAATGCCTTCAAGTTAGGGGATGGTGCTGCAGCTGTAGTGCTGGCTGCCGATGAAGATGCAAGGAAAAGGGGCTTGAAGCCTCTCGCTAGGCAAGTCTAGGAAATCCAAAGTCCCCCTTGGTGTCTACATCTTGCTCTCAGCCTCTCAGCAGGAAAAGCGGCATCTGGCTGCTTCAGTAGCACAAGGGAGACGCGCAGGTTTGAGTTTCACAGTGGTAGTGGGGAGGTGTCTCTTTATGCGAGCAGGATTCTCGCTTTTGCTGACGCCGCGCAAGCAGACAGGGACACGTCATTAGCTCTTGTTGCTGAGCAGGCCATGGTGAAGGCGCTCCGGCGGGCTGGTCTAGAGAGGGTGAGGAAGGCAGCACTTTCTGTTGCGGTTGCTGTCTTCTTCGAACTCAACGCATTCGGGGCGATTTCTTCTGTTGCAGAACGGCAGCAACCGTAGCCTAGTTGCTGGTGGACGGCTTACTGCCTCCCTATTCTCGGGCGGTTGTCTGCTTCCGTGTCTGTCTCTCTTTGTCTGTCTGTCTCTCCCAGTCTGTGTAATTGCGTTTGTATTCTGTCACAGTTTCTATTTCTGTCTCCTATGTCTGCATATGTCTCTATTTTCCTGCTTCTGTGTGTTTGTTTCTGTCGTCCTTAGGATTTCATCGAATGCTCGTGGCTGTGTGCTTGGTGCCGTGTGTTGTGTAGCTGCTCTGTGTCTGGAAATACCAACAAATGTATTTGTTCCTCTTTGCCTCTAGCGTCCGGGCGATATTTGCCTGCTGCTGCCTGGTATTGTGTGTTTCGCGGTCGTTTGTCCATCCGTGTCCACTCATCTCCGGGTGTCGCTTGCAAGAGGCACACCAGCATGTATGCTGGTGTGTTGATATGGATCGCCTCGTTGTGGCTGTCATTTTGTGGGTACAGGCGGATCTGTATGAAATCCATGAAGTCTTTGCTGCACTGCCTCTGTTGCTGATGCGCCGGCAGGGTCTCTGCCCTTCCCGTGTTAATCTTCACGGCGGGGCGATAAGTCTAGGTCATCCTTTAGGTGCGATCAGAACAGTTTCCCTAATGCGCTCATTGAGCTGGCCTTAAGCAAGCTGGGCGTTGCTCTACTGCTGTCTCTATGCGTTTTCAGGTATGTCGGGAATCAGGATGGTGCTATCTCTAACGGCTGCCCTTAGGGCACGAGAGCTTCTCTATGGCTGTGCAGTCATATGCAACGGGGCGGACGCTGCTACGGCTATTGTGCTCGAGGCTCTCTAGTCAGGTTTTGTCTTTCTACTCGGGTGGAACTTCTGCCCCCGAGCTCCGCGGAAGCTTCCGTTAGGCCTATACGTCGGTCACCACTCCCCGGCTCATCCATCATTGTCTTTACTGTCACAGCGCATTTGGAATGCAGCTGCTCTAGGGGACTTCCCATACGGCACTGCCCAATATGCATATCTTTCGAACTTTTGGGGTGTTAAGAGATACTCGCCATGGGCTGCATCCGTTTTTGTTTTGGTGTACCTCATCCCCTATTCTCCTTCTTTTCGTCTTTTGGCTTCAATTTCCTCTTGAATTCTTACTGTCCGCTCTTTACATCAACGCGTTTTTTCGCAACTGTAGACCATTTTATTTCACAGATATGTGACTGAGTTTGGGGGTGACGGTGTAGGAGTCTCTACTCCTGACGGTGTAGGAGTCTCTACGCTTGAGGACGAGAGGCTCTTCCAAGCCTCTCGTCCCCAGACATAGAGACTATGACGGGAGGGCATCGCAGCCCATCTAGGCCAATTTAAGAGCAAAGTAGACACAAAGAAAAACATATTGGCACGTTGAAAATGTTAAAAGAGGGAAGCAAGCTGAGGCCCAATCTCGGGATTTCACGTTGTACCTCCGTTAGCCCCGCAACATGCCGGGATGTGGCATTTCAGGGGAGAGTGAATTCGAACTTCCGCGGCACTGCTGGTCCTGAATGCCCACTGGAATAGGCATTCCTATGCAAATTGTTTAATACACATGGACGTTTGGTTGGAAAGCTTCCGCTGGATCTGCTGCTGAACGCTGACAGCCGTTCCAGAACCATCGTGCCACAGCATCGCACACACGTGTAGACGCTTTGCTAGTACAAGCCGTGCCGCAAAAAGGCCCTTTCTCTATAGATGGAATGATGATATATTTCGTCTCCTGATGCCAGTTTGTGTAGTGAATGCCTAAAAACTAAGTTACGGCTATGGTCATGTAATAATTGGGCTCAGTCCTCCAATCGACCTTGAACGCACGAGACCACGTGCCTATTGATGCGCGCCTTCCATCTCCAGAATAATCACCTACTTCCGATGCAGCCAGTCGTATACAGCGCCTTTTTATGAATAGAGGAAATGCTTCCAAACGGAAGAAAATGCCGTTTCCACAAAATAACGGGAGCCCACAGCCGTTCACGAGCAGCGGAGGTCCAGGCGTCCAGATGCTCCCCCCCCCAGACAGTTCCGGCTTGGGTTGTTCCACTGTCAGGGACTCAAGTTGAGCAGCTCTCAAGCTATATTTAGGGGAAACTCTAGTAATTGACGGATTGATTTATACGTGCAGATGTCCGAACTTCTTCTTGTCGACATTTTGCCTGGTCAACCGATGTCGACTCCGGGAGGCAGAACACTACCTGCCGATTTTCGAAGAAAGAAACCTCTAGTTCTCAGACGATGTACATGGCGAGCTTGTAGATGAGTTTGTGGCTTTGGGATGAGCATACCAGGAATTTTAGTCAACAGTGATCCTCCGAAGACGGGGACAGGCCCCTTCCTCCAACCAATCTTGGTCCCGTGAGGTAATCAGAGGCTTTTTCCGATCCTTCAGCATTTCCTGGCTCCTATTCTTCTCTGATCGCAAGAACCAATGCAAAAGGCAGGACGAGCTGCTCATTCCGTTCCGCCAGTGCATATCCAACTGAGCAACCCAGGGACCGACGTCGTGCTGCTGCATTTTGCAGGCGAGAGTTCCTTGCGGAGTAACCATGCCACGAGGCCGTACATCTCTCACCGCAATGACTCTCCCTTGTTCTTCCGGCCAAAGCGAAAGCGTGGTCACCGTCGCTTCAACATCCTTCCGGTGATCTTCGCAGCCCTTGTCGCTTTTGCAACGGTCTACTTACTGCTGCGCTGCGCCCGTTACTTGGTAGCCACGAACAAGCCCAAGGGCGTAATGAGGTCTGTGTCCGCTGTGGACCGAGAAGACAGGCGATGTGAGGTTCCTATTTCCTTAAGAGGGCAGGGAGAGCCTGCACGCGTTGCTTTATCTGGCGAATCCCCTGACGAAGGAAAAGTGCTCCAGGGAGCCGAACAGTACATATCGGCTCTCGCTAAGGAGGTAAAAGATAGCAGAACTGGCTTGCTTTCGATGCCTGCGTCTCTTAGTGTGAAGGTGTTCAGCAGCGTGTTGCGCCACTGCGTAGTGGAACTGGCTGCCCTGACTTCGTTGCTAGAGCCGGCACAGCGGAAACCTGTGGAAGATGCGGTAGAAGTCGTTGGTTTAGAGATCGAGTTCTTTAGTTCATTCTTCAAATCTCATCAAAAATCCCGTGCCAGGTTGCGTCACATGCAATGCATGCATGATTTTCTTCTGGAGTTGCCAAGAATAGACTTCGCCGGGGATTCCATGCCGCGCTGCCAGCGTATCTCGAAACTAGAGAAGCTACTCACGTTGCAAGAGGTGGCGCTGACCCAGATGCAGGATGGCGTGCGCATATTGACTGCCCATTTCCAACAGGGGGGAGAGCCATTACCGGAAGACACTGAAAAAAGTCATCTGGATGCGTTGTACCAGACAACTGAGGTGCGCCGCAACCATGTACTTAGAGACAACGAGCTCGGGCAGTGGCTGCGCCACAAACAAGCTCAGGGCACGCGCTTCGGTCTCGCGGCTCCCAACATAATTCAACGAATCGTCGAGGCCCCAGAAAAATCGCACGAGGAACTCCTAGAGGAGCTCCGCAATACCCCTTTGGGCAAATCACAACAGCATGGCAAGCTGCGCGAGTCGGGGTCAACTGAGGCCCACGCGAAACCCCAGCAGGAGGCGGCTCCACTCCCAGCGGAAGCTCACGCTGGCGAAGTCGAGACAAACATGCGCCCGTCAAAGAGCTTGAGCAGTTCTGAACCTTCTGTGAAGTCTGGGCAGCTTGCTGGCGTTGGAGCATCTGCGAGTCAGGCATCAGAACGCTCAGGCTCTTCTGAGAGGCCTGCATTGCTTGGAGGACTGGGATTGCCTGAGAGTGTGGGGGCTTCTGCTGTTGCTGGGGCTGCAATTGCGTCTTCGAGTTCTGCTTCGGCTCCTAGTAAATCTCTTCCGTTGACGGCTTCTGGAGCTCCCGTTTTCCCGGCGAAGGCGGGTTCTCACGGGGCTCCGGAGACCTTTAGTTCTTCGGACTCTTCTGCTTTCTCGGAAACGTCTCTGCAGTGGAGTTCCTCCGAAGTATCTAGAGATGTGTTATTTTCAGGACAGTCGGCGGTATCGAATTCAGCTAATGTGTACGTTGATTCAGAGGCGTCGGACTTGGCAACAGCCGCAGAGCCCTACGGGCCGTCGGACGTCTCACCACAACAGGTGACTGGCCACCTCCAACTCCATGGAGCCCCCCTCACCCTTGCGCCCGCAGGGCAAGTGGTGCCTGAAATGCTCAGTTGGTTGCTTGAAGCCCTTGCAGTGTCGTCAGTGTGGCAATACCCACAAACGCAACTACCAGGAGGTCTCCCAGTTTGGAAAGGTGGTCCATCCAAAGAGCGGGCAGAATCCCACTTGGACGATGATACTTGGCCAGAGGACCCAGCAAACCACGGCCTTTGGGGCCGGCATGCACCTGCCTCTCCTTCGCAGCACATGCTTCCGGGGAAGAGGAGGGCACCTTCTTTTCAGGGGGGCCCTAGCGCTCGTCGATATGCCTCCGGCCGGGATATCTTCGCCGCCCCTGGTGTTTTCGGCAGACGGCGTCTCGACGACCCAGAAAGCAGGCCACCAGATATGCAGCACTCGCCTGGGGGGCGTGGTACGCTCAGCTTTCCACCAGAAGCAGTGAAACGCTGGCAGCCGCCTGATACTGAGCCAGGGATTCCGTTAGAGGGACATTTGGTGCCCAAAAGGACTCGTCTTCCATTCAAAGGGGTGGCTGTAGGAGAGCCAGCAGGAATGGCACAGGAACGAGAAACCTCACCAGCGGCACGCGTAACAGCAGCTCTTTTCTCTTCGACTTCTGCAGATCCTAGCAAAGCCTTGCTTTCACTTCGTGCGCACAGCGGCGAGGCTGGCAATAAGTAGCTCTCGACTTTAGCTGTCACGAGGCGAAAAAAGAACAAGTACATAATATTTGACGCCCTGGAGCTTGACCCATTGAGTAGGATGGGAGTGGGTCGACTCGTAGGTTCCTTCCTGATTCCAGCTTCGGTTCACCAAGGACTTTAGCTGAGAAGGATCGGCAAAGTTGAGGATCTTGCGAGTCTTATCATGGAGTGTTCAATGGGCCAGCTCGGAAGAGCCGCTTGATGACAGTAACGCCGACTGGAAGAGATGGGTCGATGCAGGACTACATTTAGCGCATGGCGCTCATCGATCCAGTAGCCCCCATGGTGGAGGCGTCTAGTGCTTTTCATCTGCAGAAGCCGTGCGGGGAGAGCGCCGGATGTTACCACTTTCGCTTTTCACTGAGAAATTGATATGCTGTTTTTTGGTTTTTGCCGCTTGCATTTCAACTGATCTGCATCTATCCTTTCGTCTACATGATCTAAGAAGCATTCGCGTGCGAAATCCTGCCAATGAATAATTCAGGAGGCACTAATTTCCGATGCAGCTTGTGAAGCTGTGAGCAATTAACTACGGGGAGTGGTGCGGATTCCCTTCCGTGAAAAGCGCTGAGGGCTATCCAGCAGGCATGTTTGTGTGGCTTCCTCTTTCTTTCATGGGGATAGCCATCGGCACTGTCTTCATCAGCAACTAACAGCCTGACAGTATTGTTGGGTATAATACAATTCAGGGAAACCTTCTAAAACGGGGTGGAGAACGTTTCTCCTTACTTATTTTTGTCCCGCTTGGATACGACCAGCATCCCCACACACAACAGGGATAGTTCACCATATTCGTACGTACGTGCCAAACCGCAATCAGAACAATTAGACAATTGTGAAACTTCTCCGTTACGATCTAGCTGTACTGTAAAACAGGAGTTATTGCATGAAGGCTCTTCACCTGAGCATGCAAGCACCACCCACGTGCAGCGGTGCATGCAAACACACGTACCTTGTCCCATAGTTATACATCTGCACTTTATTGTTCCTTGATCCGTCCCACATTTGCATTAACCCGCAACCGTAAACACTGAATTGAAGCAGCGTTCCAAACTGCTAAGATGTGGAAATGCTGTTCAAGTACAGCGGACCAATACGTCACCGCAGTCCTGGAGCCCGCGTTTGCACTGGGCTGCATGTGCTTGGAGTGTTACTCGTACCCACGGCGGACACAAAAGGAAGGACCGGGACCGGCACAACGCAGGGGCAGAGAAGCATGGGCACAAACAACACTACAAGCCTGAATACCTACACAAGACGTGTGCGCCATATAGGGAGACACGCCGATGGGTAGGCCACCGCAGATCGAAGCCGCGCTCCTCGCCTGTCACGTAAGTTAATCACTCTCTTTGGAAGTTCTTTCGATCTTGCCATGACCTACTGATCCATGAAAATCTATGGTTCCTCTTTTCTAGTCAAATGGATGTCTTCCAAGAGGCCCTGCTTTGGCAGCAGCAACCAGCTGCGAGATAGATATGATTCGGCGCAATTCTGAGGCGGTGCCAACTTGTTATCAGACTCTGCATTGATCTCAACGCTTAGAATTCGTTCTAGCATGGTATCGATTATGCGCAGAGGAGAACCCTTCAAAGGGATAGCGGGTCACTTCATTGTATCAACTGCATCTCAGATGATGGACCACTGGGCAGATCGATGTTCGTCCTCGATGCAGCTGTGCCTCGTTGTGTTGCGCGACGAATAACTAAAATAAAAAACGTTCCATAAATATATGCGAGTCGAATTTTTCGAAGAGAAAGCACCTAATTATGTAACTGTGTTAATGAGCGGCTGTATACCTCCTCTCGATTCACCCCACGCGTCAATCCACTATCGGGAGACGCGTAGTAGTGAGTCGCTCGCTGCTTCCCAGCAGAGTGATGAGCCCTTGGCACTCGCTCATAAACGGGATAATCCCATATCGAACCAATATTCGTCTTCAGAATCAACAAGATGAGAATTTTAAACTGCTCGTCCGGCAGCGGGCACACACTGACGCCTCGAATTGGGGTCTGCTACGCGGGGAGACTGCCCTGCCCTCCACCAGATCGCCTCCGTCATATTGAAGTTTGACCCACTCGCGATCCCTCTTCGCAGCACTGTTAAGGTGCGCCAATGCAGAACAAAGGACAGGCTGCACCCTCAGCTCCGCCAAGTCATGGCCAGCGGAGCAGCCGACAGGCGGAGGCGGAGGCCATGCATTTCACTGACGAGCGTTTCTTGTGGCCTAGTGATACCACAATACCACGCAACCCTCACCGTCATGAGTTTCCTTTGCGTTTCCCGCTAAGCCGACCGGGTGGCCAACGGCGCCCGCAGGTGTATCCCGTGCGTTTTGCTGCACTAGCTGCGGTTGTGATGACTTACCTTCTGCTCCGTTGCGCCAGGCATGTGGGGAACATCAATATGCATAAGGGCTCCCTGAGGTCGCTTGCTGCGGCTGGTGAGGAAGGGGAGAACCCTCATGCACCCTGCGCACTCGCGGGGCATAACGAGCCTGCAGGGGTTGCTGTAGGTGCCGAAAATCCTGAGCAAGAACAAGTGCTTATACGAGTCAATCGCTACACACGAGATTTGATTCAGTTGATGCATGAGAGCAGACGCGCGTTGCTCCTCATACATCCGTCTCTTTCTGTGAAAGGGTTCACGATCTTGGTGCGCTTCTGCGTAGTGGAACTGGCTGCCCTGTGTTCGTTGCTGCAGCAGCGGGAGCGGCAGCCAGTGGTGCAAGCAGTGGGCTATATTAAGTGGGAGATTGCTTATTTTGGTCCCCTCTTCTGGGCGCATAGAGTACCCCGTACTGCTCTGCGTCAGATCAACTGCATGAATGCATTCCTGCGGGAGTTGCCCAGAATGGACTTCGCAGGGAGCTCCATGTCTCCCGTTGCGCGTCTCTCGAAGCTTACTCAGTTGCTCACGTTGCAGGAGGTGGCACTAAGACAGGTACAGGAGGGCGTGCGGCTCCTGGGTCTCTGCTTCAAAGGACATGCACAGTCCCCCGAGGATGAAGCTGTAAAAGAAGAACTGACTGCGCTGTACCACACAGCCAATGCTCGCAGGAACTATGTACTTTCAGACCGCGTGCTCGGCAATTGGCTGCTACACAAACATGTTAAGGCCACCCATTTCGGATTGGCATCTCCAAAAATAATTCAAGGAATTGTCGCCAGTCCCCCAAAGCCCTACGAAGAAGCTTTCATGGAGCTCCTCAATACCCCTTTGGGCTTAAGGCAACAGGAGGGGGGGCAGCACACTTCCGTGCCAGCTAATGCAGACACAAATGCGCAGGAGCTTAGGGGTCCTCTTCTAACGCAAGTCCGTGCTGGACAAGCAGAGACGATCTCAAGCCCCTCGAAGGAATCGAGCTCTGCTGAAGCCTCAGGGGAGTCTAGGGAGCCTTTTGGAGATGGAGCGTCTGCTGGTCAGACATCAGAACGGTTAGACGCTTCTGCGACTTCCGCATTGTCTGACAGATTGCGTTTGGCTGGGGGTGTAGGGGCTGCTACTGCTGCTGGTGGTGGGGTCGCGCGTTGGAGCTCTGCTCCTTCTACTTTCGTCAGTAAATCTCTTCCGTCTACGGTCTCTAGCGTCCCTGCATCCCCGCCTATGTTGGGTATCGACAGGGGTTCGGAGGCGTCGAGCTCTCCGAAAGCATCTGCTCCCTTGGGAACGCCTCTGCCACTGAGTTCAGCTCAAGTGTCTCGAACGTCAACCCCTTCGGAGCAGTCGGTGACATGGGATTCAGCTAAAGTGTCTGCAAGGTTAAAGGCGTCCGACGCGCAAATTTCAGTCGGGCGTTTCAGGCCGTCTCAATCCCCACCACCGCAATTGTTTGGTCACCTCGAAACTCTTGGGACCCCCTTGACTTCTGTATCCGAAGTGCTGGTAGCTGAATCCGAGCCCCAGTGGGTTGTAGAGCCCGTTGTGGGGTCGGCATCCTGGCAAACGCCGCGCATGCCACTATCGGGAGATCTTCAAGTATGGAAAGGCGGTCCATCGCAGGCCCAACGGGAGCTCGAGTCGGAGGATGAACTTTCGCACGGGGACCAAGCAGAGCAAGGCCGTTGTGGTATGCTTGCACCTCGCTCGCCTTCTTCTCAGCACAAGTCTTCAGGGGAAACGAGGGCAGTTTCTTCACAGGTGCAGCCTAGCGCTCATCGACATGCCTCTGGCCAGAGTCTGTCCGCCGCTCATGGTGTTTCCAGCAGGTGGCGTTTCAACAAGCCAGCAAGCATGCCAGCAGCCGTCCAACGCTCGTCTGTGGGTCCTGGTGCGCCTGCCCACCCAATAGCAGCCGTCACACGCCGGCCGCTGTCTGGCATTCATTCTGGGGTTATCCTACAACGAAAATCCGGGCTCGAAGAGTCTCAGCCTCCATTCAAAGGGGTGGCAGTAGGAGAACCAGCAGTAGGAGCAGACAAACCAGAGGCAGAACCAGCTGCAGGCGTAACAGCAGCTCTCTTTTATCCAGCTTTTGGAGATCCGAGCAAAGGCCTGCTGTCACTTCTGGCCCCCAGGGGCGAGACTGGCAAGAAGTAGTCTAGTTTTGCTGTCTCAAGGAGAGCTACGACGGGTGCACGTAAGAGATTTAATACGATAGAACTGAGTCCATCGTGTATGGAGGGAATGGGCGGGAGTGTAGGCTCCCTCCTGACCCAAGGCTTTGTTCTGCAAGAACATCAGTTGAGAAGGCTAAGCAAAGCCGACGGGGTTGGAAATATTCCAATAGCGCGCGTAATGGTTCAGCCTGTAATCCTCGGAAGATGACCATAACACCGATTGGAACGGCTGGAGCGACGTAGACGAAGTAAGACATAGGAATTTATTGTATGGTGCGCAGAGCTCATTGATCCAGTAGCCTGGAAGCATTCGTCTCGGTGTAAGGCGGTGGACGCGCATGGCGACGTTACCTGTACAAGCCTTACGGTCGACGCTTGGAATGCTCCCGCCGTTACTGAGACTGAGGCATCATCAATCACCTTTCGTTATGGCAGTTGCCATATTCATTATCATCACGGGAGACTCGTCTACTTGCTTACAAGCACCTAGAAACCCCTTCGTGCGCAATCCTGCCAATGAATACTTCAGGAGGCACGGATTTCCGTTGCAGCCCGTGAAGCTGTGGGGGATCCAACATAGTCCGCCCCATTACTCGGAGTGGTACGGATTCTTTTCCGCGAGAAGGGGTAAGGGCTGTCCAGTAAGCATGTTAGTATGGCTGCCTCCTCACTTTTCTGGGCCAACAACTGCTGAAGAGCCATCGGCACTGTCTGCATCAGCAGCTAACAGCCTGACAGTATTGTTTGGTATGATGCAATTCACTGAGACCGTCTAAAACCGGTGCAGAGCGTTCCTCTCCGCGTAGGCTATTTTAGTCGTGCGTTGATACGATCGCCAACCACTGACACAAGGGATAGTTCACCATATCCTTACGTACTTGCCAAACCGCAATCAGGTGATGCACCAACAATGGTGGGACTTCCCCGTTATGACGTAGCTGTCCTGTAGCACAGGAGTATCTGCATGCATGTGCTCTTCCACTGGACACGCGTGCAGCGGTGCACGCATGCACGCGTACGTTGTTCCATAGTTGTACATCTGCATTTTACTGCTCCGTCTTCCGTCCCACATTTGCGTTAACCCGCAACCGTAAACACTGCATTCAAGCAGAGTCCCAAACTACTAAGAAGCGGAGATGCTGTACAAATACAGAGGATCAATACGTCACCGCAGTCCTGGAGGTTGCGTTTGCTCTGGGCTGCATGTGTTTGGACAGTTACGCGTACCCACGGCGGACACAAAAGGAATGGAAGGGAGACAGATGCGAGCTTGGGATGTGAACATGCAGAGATGCGATAGAGCTATTGGCGCGAAAGCACCGCAGCGAGAGCCAGGGTAAAAAAAATGAGGGGCGGGATCGGCACAACGCACAGACAGATAAGCAAGGGCACAAACAATACTACAAGCCTGAATACCTACACAAGACGAGTGCGCCGAATAGGAAGAGACGCCGATGGGTAGTTCACCGCAGATCGAAGCCGCGTTCCTCGCCTGCCACGTAAGTTAATCACACTCTTTGGAAGTTACTTCGGTCTTGCCATGACCTAGTGATTCATGAAAACCTACGGTTCCTCTCTTCTAATCAAATGAGGCCTTCCAAGAGGCCGTGCTTTAGCAGCAGCAACTAGCTGTGCGATAATTCCGATTCGGTGCAATTCTGAGGCGGTGTCGACGGGTGATCAGGCTCTGCAATGATCGCAACTCTTAGAATTCGTTCTACAATGGTATCGATTACGTACAAAGTTGAACCCTTCAAAGGGACAGCGGGTCACTTCATTGTGCAACTTGCACTTCTTAGTTTGGACCAGTGCTGATGATGTCGCACGAAGGCGGCCCCACATGCATCTGTGTCTCGACGGATTAAGAGACGGAACACTCAAATAAGAGATAGCTCAGTATTGCTTTTTATACAAATTTTTGAAGAGACGCAGCATCTCAGTGTGAGACGTTGTTAATCCGCCGTTGTATGCCTGCTGCTGCGCCACACCACGGCATTCCATCATCAACGGATGAAGGTAGAAAGTCGCTTACTGCTTCCTACCCGACTGATGAGTTCCTAGCAACCCTCATGATTGTAATGATCCCATAACAAACCAGCATTATTCTTCAGGATAAACAAGATGGGAATTGTAAACTGGTCGTCCGGCTGCGGACGCACACTGATATCCCGAGCTGCTGCTGGCAACTAGGGTACCCTGGCCTTCCTTCTACCAGATCGCCTCCGTCATATTGAAGTTTGACCCTGTTGGGCTCCCTCTTCGCATCACTGTTAAGGTGCGCCAATGCAGAACATAGGACATGGCGCACCCTCCGCTCCACCGAGGCATGGCCCGCCGAGCAGCGGACAGGCAGGCGCCGAGGCGATGTATTTCACTGGCGAGGGGTTCTTGTGGCCTAGTGATACCACAATACCACACAAACCTCACCGCAATGAGTCTCCTTTGCGTTTCTCGCTAAGCCGACCAGGTGGCCAACGGCGCCTGCAGGTGCATCGTGTGGGTTTTGCTGCCCTGGCTGCGGTTGTGATGGCCTACTTTCTCCTTCGTTGCGCCCGGCATCTGGCTTCTAGAAGTACGCCCACAGGCGTCCTGAGGTCGCTTGCTGCGGCTGGGGAGGAGCAGCACGTTTCTGGGGAGCCCTGCGTCTTTGGGAGCCCGGGAGAGCCTGCAGGCCCTGCAGTAGAAGGCGGACTTCCTGGCAGAGAGCAGGTCCTTCTGGAAGTCAAACGTTGCACGTCGGATTTGGTTGAGGCAATGCAGGAGAATAGAGACGCGTTGCTTCGCATTCCTCCGTCTTTTTCTGTGAAGGGCTTCGCGACCCTTTTGCGTTTCTGTGTAGTGGAGCTGGCTGCAGTTTGTTCGTTGCTACAGCTTAAAGAGCGGGACTCTGTAGTGTCCGCACTGGAACACCTTACGGATGAGGCCGATTTCTTCAGCCACTTCTTCAAGGGTAAGCGCGTATCTCGCACCAGTTTGCATCACATCCGCTGCATGCGTAAGTTACTACCGGATGTGCCAAAGATGCGTTTCGAGGGGTCTTCGATGCCTCGCCTGGAGCTTCTCTCGAAACTATCCCGGTTACTGAAGTTGCAGCAAGTGGCGCTGAAACAGGTGCAGCATGGCATGCACCTGCTGACAGTCGCTTTCGAACAGACGGGAGAACAACCCCCGGATGATGCTGCAGCAGAATATCTGGATGAGTTGTTCCAGACATCTGACATGCGCAGGGACCAGGTGTTTCAAGACAGAGTGCTCGGTAACTGGCTGCGCGGCAGACAATGTGAGGGCTTGAGGTTCGGGATAGTAGCTCCCAGAATGATTCGAGCAATCGGCCAAGTTCCCCCGAAACCCGACGAAGAACTTCTAAAGGATCTCCTCAATACTCCTTTGGGGTTACGGCAACAGCAGATGAGTCAGCAACGCTCGGGGCCAACAGATGTCCGCTCAGATGTGCAGCCGGTAGAGCCTCCACTTTCAGCGGAAGTGCCTGCCATACATGTAAGCACGACCTCAAGCTCTCCCAAGGAGTTGAGCTCTGCTGAAGCCGCAGTGGGACCTGAGGAGCCTGCTGCAGAGGAGGCGTCTTCCCGTCAGGCGTCAGAACGCTTAGACGCTCCTGCGACTTCTGCATCGTCTGGAGGATTGGGTTTTTCAGAGCATGTAGGGAATTCTGCTTCTGCAGGGGCTGGGGATGCGTCGCAGAGCTTTGCTCCGCCTACAGTCGCAAGTGGATCATTTTCGTCGCTGGCTGCTGGCGTCCCTGGCTTCCCGTTGGTTGCGGGTCCCGACACGGTTTCCCAGGCGTTGAGCTCGCCTGAAGCGCCTGGTCTTGTGGGAATGCCTCTGCCATTGAAGCCCCCTGACGTGCCTGGACGCTTGGCCTTATTAGGACACACGGTAACATTGGATTCAGCTAGCCAAGAGTCTGGGAGTTCTAAGATGCCGGAATCGGCAACAAGCGCACTGCCTCTTCCGCGGTCTGAGGCTCCACTGACCCAGGTGTCTGGCCACCACGAAGTCCGTGAGACAGCTGCCACCTCTGCATACGGAGGGCGTGGGGAGTTTCTACTGGCGGTCGGGGCATTCAAGGCTGCCGAAGAGCCTTCAATGTCGCAACATCCACAGGAACAATTACCAAGCGGTCCTTTAGGGTGGATTGGTAGCACATTCGGAGCGCAAGGCGAATTAGGCCCATATAGTGTGGTTTGGTCGGCGGACCCACGCTGGCAGTGGCCTAGCAGGCAACCTGCTGTTTCCTTAGACGGACAGTCGGGGCCCAAAGAGCGTCACTATCCATTCAAAGGGGCAGCTGTAGGAGAGCCAGAAGGGGGGATACGCGAACCGGAGGGAACGCCGCCGGCACGCGTAGCAGCAGCTCTTTTCTCTCCTACTTACGTAGACTTTAGCAAAGCCATGCCTTCACTTCAGGCAACCAGTGGTGAAGCTGTGAAGTTGCCCAGGGCACAAGTGAGGCAGAAGCGGCTTTAAGGTTCTAAACCATGAAGGACGAGTGCGGATTGCGGAGGGGGCCGAGCAACTATCGACTATCTTCCTTCTTGATTTCGGGTTTAGACGGTTCCAAAAAATGACGAAGGATATTTGAGGTCGCCTCCTGGAAAAATATGTGTTCCAAAGGAGATATGAAAGCGGGAAATGAAAACTGTGTGTAGAGGATAAATTATCTTGTGGCGGATTCGGATGGAACTCTGTGAACCTGGGACGTGAGTGGGTGAGTGCCCACAAACTGGAACGACGGGAACGTTTAACCTCTCAGCTATAATGGCCTTCGATGAGACTGACGGTGACGTTTGCAGCTTTATCTACGGCTGAAGCACCTGCCATCATTTTCTGCTGATTCCTCGCTGGTTGGGATGGGAGTGCTTGCCATATATTGGTAGGCGTCTAGAAGGGTTCACGTCCTTGCAGTGGTTTGACGTACTCGGATCTATGAACTAGTGAGGAGGTCGGTTACATCGTAGCATGCTAAGGCATGAAATTAATCCAGTGTTTTCAAATATTTGTGGTCTGGCACGCCCTGTCTGGATCTGGTATTCATACTTGCATGCAGGTTCGTTGCTCTAGTGTACAACGGTTCCCTACAGTGTATGTGCGTAAATCGAAGGGGGACTCGGATATAGTTGCATGGGATGCCGTGGTGCCGCACCAGTTGAAGCAGCGAGTGCCTCTGCCGCATGCTGCCTTGATCTTAGCCGCTTTGGGAACAAAGAAAACGATCAGGGAAATGCGTTGGCAGAAGTATATGGTACCTAGGAAGCGGACTTTACTCTAAGGTAATCTGGAAACCTTTTGCCTCCGCTGTGGAGCGGAGCCAAGAAGCGGCGAGATTGCATATAGGGCGGCTACTTCACCGTTCAAACCGGTCATCAGTCCCTGACACACCTGAAGAAGAGTTTCCACGGCTCCGACGGGAGGAGAGTTGCTTGGTAGCTCTCTCGGCTGATAATAAGGGTATTAGGAACGCGCCGGCTGACGTATTCTCCGTACGCCTAACGGGCCAGGCACAGTATTCTGCAACGTGGTCCTGGCATTTCCAGGACGGAGGAGATACCCTACACAATGACAACCCGGGAGGTTTTCTGAATATTGCCTGTTCAAGTCACTCTGGAGTATTTGGATATGTCCAGCAAAGCTGAAGTTCTGGCTGCATTCAACGATTCGGTGTCCGTTGCTTTCTGATGTTTAAAAAGTCGCTCAGATCTTCAATCTGACTATTGAGATTATCCGTTGATCTTGGCCCGGGGCTTTACGCACAGCTAAACCGACGGTGCTGCCGCCAGCTCTCCCATTTTCCTCATATTTCGCGGCTGCGCGCCATGTTCACCGTACGGTAGCTGTAGGTGACCCCGGCAGATCTCCAGATAGTTTTCGTTACCTTCAATTCAGCGGCTGGGGAGCCCTGCAGAAACTGTCTTTCGCAGCTGGCTGGCCGCAGCCCACGTGGGCACTACTGTTGCGCACTGCTCACAGCTCAACCGATCTTTTGAGCTTCGTTGGGATGCCAGCGTCAAAGTGCGGCATACAACCGAACCGAACGGCACGTCTCAGTAAATGACCAGTGGATACTGCGGAACTACCCGGTTTAGGGTGCTGTGTTGCTTGTGGTGGAGCATCAGAGGAAGGTACGGCTGTATTGTATGAAGTTCGTGTGTGTTGTTCAACTGTTTCTCAACCTGGTTACGGAATGCCATGTAAACGTTCAACGATCGTCTATAGTAATAGCGCATGTAGCGAAGGGGCCGTGGTTGCCCTTGTAGACAGGGATGACTTGCGTGCTACAATGCTGCAGCCGAGGACTATTGTTACACCCAGCGCAGGTGGGTGGTGCTACCTACTGATGTGCTCGGGCTCGGCTGCAGAGTCAGCCGTACGTTTTGGAGCCTTATAACTGGTATATAGAGATCAAGATTTGTGGCTGAATTCGAAGGAATACTCCACTGGTAATATAGCGCACGCGGACAGCCCAACACCAACATCTCAGGCAGCATAGAAACACACCTTCAAGTGCTCGTGACTGGATATATGAAAAGGCACAAACGAGAATATTGACACCCCATATAGCATAGAAGTGGCGACGCCAAACTCGGCGAGTCACTTGGGCTCGAAGTTCTAGTGCGATTTGGTAAGACGGGAACCGGAACCTGAATGTGGTTGAAATCCGATACTCTCGTCAGAAAGGGGGCATTTAGAAGTTTCAACTACCTACTAACTCCCTGCAAAGGCAACGCTTTCTCCATGCTGCAAGAGATGCGTTTGGTTGAAGCCGGTGTAGGGGGTTTTCCTATGGTTGTTATGGAGCTGGCCGATAGTCATGCTCTTGGTGGACTACGAGTGCAGTTTGAAAGGTGATAATTAATAAGAACTAGATTTGCAAAGCGGCCCCAAGGCAACACACCACCAGCAGCAGCAAGCAAGCCCCGTTCGGAGTATGCGGAGCCTTGCTCTCGCTGTCGCTGCAGCAGCAGCAGTTCTGGTTTGAGAACGACCCCAATGACGCTGTCGAGACACCAGAAGACAAATTTTAACGAAATTTGAATCAGCCACAAGTAAAGGGATTCTCCTTAACTCTCCAGAAGACCCTCCTTTCGGGGGCCCAGCCAATGATGAACTTCCTCGACGCCAGCAGCGGGTCCTTGCGCCCCTAGATTTCGTGTTTTTTTGATGTTTCTTTAGTCCCTATCGTTTCTTTTGTTGTGTTTGGCGGGATAAAACAGCTGAGGTTATCCCGTGCGTTCCAGCAGCTTCGGGCCCCTCATCGTCACTCGTCGCTTCGACGCCTTAAACCTCAAAACTCTGCCCTATTACTGGGCAGCAGCAACACAACTGTCCTCACACTGCAGCAACTGCAGCAACAGCAGCAGCAGGAACAGAGCTGCTTTTGCATCACTAGCCCCCGGAGCAGATCGCGTCGTCATCCGTACGGTTTTGATTAGCTAGCATCTCGACGAGCTGCATAAACACTGCAGCTGCATCATAAGCCTGGGTTCTGGGTTTTTCCAGCTGAAGAAAAGCTTTCGAGTCAGCAGCAGGCGCTGCAGGAGCTGCTGCGTGTCTCAGCAGCAGTATAATCGGCTCCAACGAACCAGAGGAGCCGCAGCAGAACACCAGTACAGCTACAACTGAGCAGCATCTGCAGCAGCAGGGAAAATGGTGTGCAGCTGGCCGTGTTTGGCCACTTGCTGTTCGTTTCTGTCAGCATTTGGAGTTGTCTTTCTGCTTCTCTTAGGATTTCTCATGCAGCAGAAATCGCCCTCAATAGAGCTCGACACAAAAGTGATGGAGGAACAGTACATGGCGCCGTATATATGTGCGGGTGTACGTCCAGCCCATCATCCTATGCGTGCTGCTGCTGCTGCTATGGCTCTTTTTGAAACTGCTGCTGCTGCTGTCGCTGCTGACTTTGAAACTGCTGCTGCTGATGCTTTCCCTGTAGCTGTGGGCCTTTCAGTTGCTCCTCGTGCTATTCGTGTGTTGTGCTTCTACTTGTGTATATCTGTCTGTGCTGTTGCTGCTGCTGTTGTTGTATGCTGCAGGTGTACTTTGTATTTTTTGTAGTCAGCTGCGTGTATCTGTTCATACACTCCAGAAGAAAGCCAGCGCCTAAGCCAGGCCTCTTTCAGCTAGACTCGATGGCTGAGGCTGGGGAGCAAGGTCTTGGTGCTGCTGCCTTTGATGAGCTTGCTGCTGCTTCTCCTGCTGCTGCTGCTGAGGCAGCGGTGCCTAAGCGTGCAGCAAGCAACACGAGCCCCATTTCTTCTGGCGGCTCTCTTTCGAAGATATCACCACAAGGAGAACCCAAGAGTGACAAAGATGGAAAAGCATTGTAGTTGTGATAACAGAAGCAGCCGCTGCTGCAGTTGTGGCTGCAGCAGCTGCTGCCGTTGCTGTTCCAGCTGCAGCTGCAGCTGCTGCTGCAGCGGCTGCGGCGGATGCCGCCGCGTCAACACCATCACTACAACAACACTTGGGCGCCCTTGCTGCTACTGGGCGTCCAGGTAAGAATAGCAATTCTAAGGGTTGCAGCTGCTTCTTCAGCATCAGCAGCAGTAGCAGCAGCAGCAATAGCAGTCATCGGCTGGGGTGCAGCAGCTGTAGCAGCAGCAGCTGCTGCAGCAGCAGCTGCCGCCATCGGCACCGTAAGGCAGATTTTTGTGCGTGTAGCACCAGCAACGCAGCAGATGCTGCTGCTGTTGCATGACTTTCTACCTCTTGTATTGCGAACAGCAGCATTCTAGTTTTCTGCATATCCTGCATCCGCAGCTACTGACACGTGTGGCTATCGCTGTTGCTGCGCTTGCTGCTGCTGCTGCTGTCTTTGCTGCCCTTAGAATAGACATTTACAGCAGCAGCANCAGCAGCAGCAGTTGAACTTCCATTACGCTTCACAGTGTGTCAGCTCGAAATTAGGAAAGCCAACAGCAGCGGCCAGCCTGCGTAGCAGCAACAGGACAAGGAGAAGCAGAGTGAGCAGCAGCAACTGTAGGGTTGCAGAAGCGCATTGCAGCAGCAGCAGCAGCAGCAGCAGCTGTTCTTTAGTGCAGACAGTGGTAGTGTGTGGTGCAGCAACAGCTGCTTCTGCTGCAGAAACTCCTTTGAATGTTAGTAAGAATGTCGCACTGCTCAGCTGCTTCCTGCTGCATCCGCTGCAGGCGGCCTAGAGAGGCTTGCTGTTGCTGCAGCAGCACGCCGTATGCTGCTGCCTTGGTGAGCCGCTGCTGCTCCGCCTCTCTTCGCTTGTGCTCAAATACTGCTGGGAGAAATGAAGGAGGCTGCAAACGGGGCTCCACACACCCTATGTAGCGAAGCGTAGGAGAAGCAGAGTGCAGCAGCAGCAGCAACAGCAGCAACAGCAGCGACGGCAGCAGCAGCAGCAGCAGCAGCAGCAGCAAGGGCAGCAGGTGCAGCTACAGCAGCTACGGACAGAAAGGAACGGCGACTTTGTCTCTGTCAGGGCATACCGCTGGCTCGAATCCTAGCAGAATGACCCCGCTCTCCTCATCCTGCTGCTGCTGCTGTTGCTGCTGCTGTTGCTGCTGCTGTTGAACATTGTTCATGCTCTGCAAGAGCCGGCTTTGTCTTTTCTCCTGTCGCTTCTTCATTTGTTGCTGCTGCAAAGCGCTTGTGCATCTGCGCACTGCTTCCTGCTGCAGCACTTGCTGCTGCAGTGCATCTAGCGCTGCACAAGCAGCACATGGTTGGGGTGTACGTACACTGAGAGGCAACGCAGCTTACTAGGTTTAAACAAGCGTCTACTGCGTTGTTGCTGCATCAGCTTTACTTATATAGCTGCAGCAGGGAAGCGGAGGTATCTTGACTGTAGCTGCTGCTGCAGCAACTCAAGCAGCAGCAACGGCAACAGCAGCAGCAGACGAGTTATGTTTGTTTGTTTTTAGGATTTAGGCTTACTGGCGATTCGTCTGTGTATCTTTTCTACTGCTATCGCTTCAGCCTTGGCTTTCCTTGCTGTTTCCATTCGCGCCAGCCGCTGCAGCTGCTGCTGCTTCTGCTGCAGGTAGTTGAGCCCTGCTGCCCGCTGCTGCTCTTCTTGCTGCATGAGGCGCAGCTGCATAAGCAGAACACGAGGACGGGAACGGCCCCCACCGCTGCTGCTGCTGCTGCTGCTGCTGCTGCTGTCAGGTATCATAGAGCCGTGCGGATACTCCTCTAAGGTTTCAGTCTCTTCCTCTGCTTGACTTCTATTGCTGCTGCGTTTGCTGCTGTTGCTGCTGTTGCTACTTCTGTTGCTGATGCTGCTGCTGTATGAAGGTAGAGTTTCCCTGGTTTTTTTAATTGCTGCATGCGAATATGCACGAATATCCTCCTTTTGTTTTTCTTCTGCAGCAGTATTTTTTCCTTCTGCTGCAGCCATGCCGAAATGTTTTATTTCATTAGAGCCCTGCATTGGATTAGTTGCATTAGCTGCAGCAGCAGCAGCAGCAACACCGACAGCAGCAGCAGCAGCAGAGCTGACAGGGGCGGTGTCGTATCTTGCCGCAACCGCGCCTGCTGCAGAGGCGAAGTGTCTTACAGAGTGGCCACCTGGGCCATTTCTGCTGCTGCTACTGCTGCTGCTGCTACTGCTGCTGCTGCTACAGCTGCTGCTGCTACAGCTGCTGCTGCTGCGGCCAGGTGGACCTCGACGGGTACAGCCTGCACCAACGGGAGGCAGCTGTGCGCTGTTCCTCCTGGGGAAGGGAGGACTGGGATGCCTCTGTAATTCGTTGTTGCTGTTGCTGTTGCTGCTGCTGCTGCTGCTGCTTCGGGGTAGCGGGGTCGCTGCTGCCCTAGCTGCTGCTGCAGCTGCGGAGATTGCCTTCCTACTCGCTGCAGCCGCCCGTATAGCTGCCTCTCTAGCTTTCTGTGCAGCAGCGGCTGCAGGCGTACTTGACTGCTGCTGCTGCTGCTGCTGCTGCTGCTGCTGCGAGCTGTTGTTAAGCTGCTCCCAGTGCAATATTTGAGGTGGCAACTCTGTTGCTGCTGCAGCTGATGTTGCTGCAGTTGCTGACTTTGTTGCCGCTGCTGATGTTGCTGCTGGTGCTGGTGCTGCTGCTGCTACTGCTACTCCTGTATTCCATTGCCTCGCTGCTGTCTCTACAGCTGCTGCAACAAGCTCCGACGTTGCAGAGGCATGCGTTGTCTCCCCCTCTTCCTCTCCGCAGCTTTCTTCTTTTGATTCATCATATGATCCGGCTGCAGCAACAGCAGCAGCAGCTGCTGCAGCTGCTGCTGCTGCAGCAAACGCTTGCTGCTGCGGAACCTCAGAAGGCAGCTCCGTGGGAATAGAAGGCGGAGCTGAGGAGACAGCCGTCCCCCCGTCTTCTTCATTTGCTGCAGAGGCAGTTGCTGCACCAGGGGCTGTAGCTGCAGCAAGGGGAGCAGCAGCAGCTGCTACTGCTGCTCTTTCTGCTGCTGTTTCTCTTGCTGCAGCTGCACCACGCGTGGAGGCCGAGTCAGAAACCGCAGCAGCAGCTGCCACTGCTTCTGACGCTCCTGCAGCAGCTGCGGCTTCTGCTGCTGCTGCAACGTCTGCATCTGCTGTTGGGTCCACTGGTGCAAACTCGCTGTGCGATGCGCTCCCATAGGGATCCAGGTACTGCTGCTGCTGCTGCTGCTGNGCTGCTGCTGCTGCTGCTGCTGCTGCTGTTCAGCCTTTCCTGCAGAAGCAACTGCTGCTTTCGCTGCAGCAAGTGCTGCAGCTGCTCTCGGAGTGCTGCGGTCCTCATGCTCGAGGTGCGTCGATGTAGGTGCAGCTGAGGAATGTACAGCCTGCAGCGTTCTTGTTTCTGCTGCTGCTGCTGCTGCTGCTGCTGCAGCTGCTGCAGTTGTTGCAGCTGCTGCACCTGTTTGTATTGTCCCTTCTCCAGCCTACGTCTATTGACCTGAATTGGGGGAATGCGGAGAATCTCTCGGGCGAGAGAAGGCAGATGCACAGCAGCAGCAGCAGCAGCAAAAGTAGATGCTGCTGGCGCTGGCACTGCAGCAGCAGCAGGAGGATTTGTCTGTACACCTTGAGTTTCTCTTCTTTTCGTGCTGCTGCTGCGCTGCTGCAGAGGTGCGGCTGGAGGTGATACTGATAGATGCGAGCTGCACGGCTGCTGCGGCCGTGCAGCAGCCTCTCTTACCCTGGCTCTATCCGCAGCAGCAAAGCATCTGCCAGCTGCCCCTTCTCCGGCTGCTGCTGCTGCTGCTGCTGCTGCTGNGCTGCTGCTGCTGCTGCTGCTGCTGCTGTAGCTGCAGTCCTGCGGGGTCTCCTGCTGTGAGGAGACAGAGAGCAGTGCGACGCAGCAGCAGAGTCAGGAGAGACAGCAGCAGCACTGGCGGACCGCTGCTCTGGTGATAAGCTGCTGTCTCCTGCTGCATAGATAGCAGCAGCACCAGCAGCTAGTGGGGCCCCCCATTCTCCCCTGGGTCTCTCCTCGTCCCCCCATACAGAGTGCTGCAGCAAGCTTTCCTCCTGCTGCTGCAGCAGCAGCTGCTCCTGCTGCTGATGCTGTTGCTGCTGCTCACCTTGCTGCTCTCCACGAGCCCATGAGGCAGCAGAAGAAACAGACTCGGGGAATGTTGTGTGTGGGGAGGACGCGTTATATACAGGTTGCCAGTGCTGCTGCTGCTGCTGCTGCTGCAGCAAGTGCTGCTGCTGCTGATGCTGCTGATATGTTTCCCATCGCTCCTGCTGCTCCCAGTGTCTCTGCTGCTCCTCCGGCCAGGAGGAATGCTGCGCCTCGCTGCTGCGGTGCCCCCAGCTGTCTCCCCAGCTTGAAGTATATGTCTCTGCTACAGATGCTTCGGTGGGTTCCTGCTGCTGCTGTTGCTGCTGCAGCTGCTGCGGTGGCAGCAGAGATATACCCTCTGCCTCCATGGCTTCTTGTTCTCCAAGCGAAGCTTTTTGTTCTCTGCTGTAGCTGCTGCTGCAACGGCTGCTGCAGTTGCTGGCGCTGCAGCCAGAGTTGCTGCGGCTGTGTCTCTCACGCTCCTCTTCGGGTCCCCTAGGCCGCGCAGGATGCGGCATCGCAGCCATCCTAGCAGCAGCAGCAGCAGCAGCAGCAGCTGAAGCAGCAGATTCTCCCGTCTCTCCACGGTGTATGAAGCGACTGTATTCATAGGGAAATGGTTGTCGCGGCGCCCCTGCTGCTGC